TGTGTGGAGTATGGCATTATTTGGATTTTTTGGGACGATTTGGCTATGTAGAAATGATGTGATCTTTAACAGGAAAAGCTGGACATCGGATCAGAATTTTTATTCTGCTGTATTCAGAATAGCGCGCTGGTGCAAGTGCAAGTGGTCGGGCAGCAGGTTCGCATTAGTGGATTTTCTGAATCTTCCCAGCAGTGTTTTTGCAATTAGGAGCTGGAGTAGAAGGGGTCGGGGGGTCACTTAATCATTGGCGTTTTTGTTGTTTCTATCGTGTGTGGCTATTATGCTTGTTTATGATGGGGGTTTCGAGTAGTGTTTTTGTAGGTGGTAACTGGTTTGGTGCTGTGCTAAAACTGGTTTGTCACTGATTAATTTTTGTCTAGATTTGTTTCAGACGGTTGGGTGTTCCTACTTTCGTTTGAGGTAGTTAACGTGTGTGTGGGATGTTTGAGGCTTTGTTCTGCTTGAGTGATGTATGGTTATTGCTGCAGTAAGGAGGATTGTATCCGACTGGTGCATCTTGGTTGTGGGGCTTAGGGGTCTGCCTCGTGTCTGTAAAGTTACAGGTTAGAGATGGTTTAGATCAATTGCTGGTTTTCATCTGGTTCCTCTGCTGTAGAGGAGTAATGACGTTGGGAGTGGGATGGTTTATGTGGATGGTTCGTGGCAAGCGCGGCTGCTTCATGTTTGGTGTTTCTGGCCCAGTTTGAATCGTCGTTTCGTGTAGGTTGTGGTTTGCTGTTTGGTGGTGTTTTGTTTCCAGGCTTGCTACAGTTCTTGCCGGTGCAGGGAGTTGTGCTTTCTGTTTTGTTGTGCTTTGTTTAGTGCTGATTAGTGGCGTTTTTGGAAGGTAATCTCTTTTTCCTCCATCTAGGTCTAGATAGGTTTTTTTAATGAGATCCTTTCAATGTCCTTCTTTTATGAAATTGTTTCTTAATCATATAAACCCTTTTCAAAAAATTTAAAATTTGATTTTTAATTAATTTTTATATTACTCAATCTAAGTTAATTGATTAATATGAAATTTTGAATATATTAAAAATAAAATATCTATTAAAATATATAAAAATGTAAAAAGATAAGACAATAAATAATACAATAAAATTAGAAGAATCGGCAATAATATACATTATCTTATTGTTAAATGGTATACAAATGGACCTAGCGCAAAACGATGAATCAAATATAATATTTTAACATAGATATTTTATTAAAAAATTAAATTAATGAAACAAACCTCCAAATTAACAGAGGATAAAGTAATATTCATTCTTCAAACTTGATACTTTTTTTAATTTAATCCTTATATTTATATTTTATCTACGTTACATCCCTTAAATATTTTAAAGGCTTAAGGGTGACTTTTGCTCCTATAGTAGATCTAATTTATCATTTTCGTCTCTATTGTATTTTCGCATCAATTTAGCCCTTAAAGTTGTTCAATTGCATTATTTTATACCATGCCTTTAACTTAAAACCCTAAAGTGATAACCCTAAACCTTGATCTCTAACTTAGAACCCTCAATTTAAGGTTTTAAATGAGGGGTATGGAATATAATGATGCAATTGATCAATTTTGATTGCTAAATTGATGCAAAAATACGATAGGAGTGAAAATAATAATTTTGATCTACTACAAGAACAAAAAGTTACCTTTTGCCTACCTTAAATGTCAAGAGAATAATAAAATTGTATTTTAGCTCCTTTAAGAATATAATTTTCTAATTTTTTCAAATTAAAATTTATATAATTATAAACTAAAATAATGATAAAACTATATTTTTGGCTTTTAAAAATTTACTATTCACCTACAAAAAGAGTTTATGACTTCACCCTTGATTAAGACTTTAAACTCGTGTCTATTACTTCTTCAATCATTATTATCTAATATAAATCGAATCATCATTTACCAATATTCATAAATATGATCTACCTTAATCTAGAGGTTTGTCCAATAGATATATACGATAATGATCATTGTAATGTAAATAGATAAAATAAGGATAGACTGGATTTTAACTCAAAAATTACTAAACTCCCTAATTTTAAATTCATTAAGGTTTAATTATAAAATAAACACGAATATGTGTCTATAACATTTTTTGAATGATTCTGGTGTCTAATGTTACAAATGTTACCATTTTAGGTGTTTGGACTCCGTTAAGTGACACATGTTACATTTAGGTATTTTCAAAAGTTTTATTTAAAATTAAAAAATTAAAATTATACACCTTTAAAAAATCACACACAAAATTTTCGAAATAGCCCAGAAACTTTGAAAACCTTCATTTCAACCTCTAAACCCACATCAATCGTCATCCTTTAACGTCGACGAAGCTCCACTCAATCTCACATACCCCGACAATCAATACCCCTATGAAATCGCGACTGATTGACGTTTTATACCTTGTGAACCCTAAGATAAAAATCGTTATCTCACACGATATCAATATCAATCAGCGACAACTACGACGACATATGAATAAGAGGATGGCGTGGATTAAGTCAGCGGCGATGGTCGTGGTCGAAAAGGGCGACAGCGGTGGATTAAGGTTAGTTTTTTTTGAATTTGGGTTTTTTATAATTTAAGAGAAATTAAGTTTTTTTATAAATATAATAATATTTTTAATTTTTTAAAAATAAAATTACCAAAATATGACACTTGTTACTTAACGAAGAAAACTAATTGTACTTACGGTCTGGACACCTAAAATTGTAACATTTACAAGGTTAAACACCAGAATTATTCAAAAATACTATAAATACCTATTCGTAAAAAATAGTGTAATTTAGACACTTATTTTATAATTAAATTTAGTTCATTAATAAAAGAAAACAAAAAACAAGGAAGATATTTTTGGAGGTTTATAGTTAAAATTTGTTTGTCATATGAAATGAGCGTGTGGGCTGATCATTATCGTACCGTCACACGTAAGAAACAATAAAGATGAATTCATGACTGGTCCCACCTTTCTCCATCATAATTGAAATTTTAAATTTATTTTAATTAATCAATGTTAAACATGAAGATTAGGACATGATCACAAGCATTTCTCACTTGTTTAATTTATCGTTAAAGCTTTCGGCTGATTAGTTTACAGTTTTCGAGTTTAATTAATATAAATTAGTTAAGTATTGGAAAATTTTAAGTAATCTAAATCCCTCTTTCTATTGGTTTAGAGCATTTTTATTTTCGAAGATTGACATTTCACGGCCAGAAAACAGATTCCTTGATCCCCAATCAATCTAAAAGTCGGCTTATTTTTTATTTCCAAATATGGAATATTTAAATATTAATTATTTTTAATTGTTTATTTTTTAAATTAATTATTGGTATTTGATCTATTGACTGATTAATTCGTATTGGATACTACAGAGGTGAGGACGACTCTCCCAATCCAATTTATTCCATTTACGAACGTCAGAATTTAAACACTAATCTTATTTAAAAAATCTAATGACTCATATTAACTTATTGTTTGTAATATTTTATTATCAATAGTAAATATAGTATGTTTGAGATAATATAGTATGGATAATATCTATTTTATATTTATTTAGTCAGATAACATGATAAATAATTATTTTTTATTATTCACTTCACCTGAAAACGTTTTTTATTCTTTTAGTTTTCTCACTTAGTTTTCTTGATCGGTAGCGGCACCAATTTTAATATTAGTTATCGATTGCTGGTATTTTTATTGTTATTTTTTCTTATATTACATGTTTATTTTTTTTTCATTAAGTTTGCTTATATGACACGTTTTCACTTGTCTTTATGACACATCTTTTTTTTTTGACACGTTTTTTGATTGTTTGACCGTTGTTTTCACTTATTTTTTTCCTAAGATTGATTTGACATCATAACGACTGATCAAGATGATGATTATCTTTATATTGTTGATCTTCCATGTTTTGAACCCTCGAATTAGATTTGAATATATGTTATGCATTCGTGAATAATTTTTCACATCGCTCGAGTCTGTTTTACGGTTTGTCGGTGGTCTTTTAGTAGTTTGATCCCATTTTGAGGTTCGTTTGTCGATGTGATTGTATGTATATTTGTTTGAATTTTGTTGATTAGATTTTAATATTTCCTTATATAGTATTTTTGTGATCATACGTTGTTAGTTTTGTTTCGATGATTATACAAAATTATCCTAATTATAGACTTAATTTACGATTATGATAATAATTATTTATTGTAAATTAAGATATTTTATATTTTGAATAAAATTAATGATTTATTTAAAGAAAAAAACTTTTTTTTTAGATTTATATTAGTAAGACGGTCCAACTTATTGTTATGATTTCGTTCATTGAGTTCTAAATGAATAGTTTAAGTAGAATTGTTTTCTCCACCCCGAGAGTTGAATCAAAGTCGTGTATATTTCTTATCGCTTGATCCAACAACCGTTAATTCTTTAAATTTATTGTTATTATCATAGAAACTAATAACAGAGTAAGATGATTAAATAACAGAGGGCAATGCTACAAATGTGCTTAAAATTCCATAAATTACATATACTATCACAAGAAACAAGGATTTGGGGGAGAGAGAGAAAGAAGAAGAATCTAAAGAACCCTAAAATGTGCATAAAATCCAAGTTTTTACGAGCAGAAAAATAAAAGCTCGAAGATGGATTTTGGAACCAACTGAGAGAGGAGATCACCAAACTGTCTCCTCACACTCAAAATTGGACTGAATAAAACTACATAACCGAACATTACATCAACAAGACAGAGCTGAAAAGGCTTTTTATTGACACTAAAAACATGCTGTAAGGAAAAACATGAGAGCAAATCACTGCCAAAAAAGTTTGAAAATATGTTAACTTTTTTTTTTGCAGGTTTGATGAAAATGGGTGAAGAGATCTGTTGAAATCAGTGGCTGGTTTCATCTAAAAATCTGCAGCCAATGAAAGGAAAAATCCAAAGGTGGATGATGACAAGTGACACGAAAAGATGCAGACAAGTGATGATAAAAATCCAGGGAAGATGAGTTTTTAAGAATCTTGATCTTTCCAAAAGAAGGGTTTCATTGGACAAGAAGTGGAAGAAGAAGTGTCACCAAATTCTTGTTGTTGATTTTGGCTGTGGAAAGAGAGATTTGGAGGCAAAATGAGATTGTTTGTGGTGTCTAAATCATCCCAGACTGGACTCCCTGGACCCCAGCCTGCTGGGATTGCACTGAACCAAGCTTCGGCCATCGACATATCTCCCCACACTAGTTCCTGAGGACCCGAACCACCGCCTTCGCCCGAACCCGAGCCCTCGGCTGCCATCTGTACATCGTCACTGGCTGTAGCCTCTCTGGATCTGAGCCCCGAATCACTGTTGGGGTTATCGACTTGAGACTGAGCCGGTGGTGGCACCATTTCGACTTCGGCTGACGGAGAATTAGGCCCTTTCGGTTCTTGTTGTGGGAGATTCTGGTTCAAGGAAACTGCTGAACTTGGCCCGGGTGAATTATCTTTATCTTTGTTAAGGAAAAGCTCAGGGAAATTGAGCCTTGCATTCTCTCCTCTCAACTTGAACGCCTCATGATCGTAGGCTAATGCGGCGTCTTCCGCAGTGTCGAACGTGCCTAGCCAAAGGCGAGTTCGGTTTCGAGGAAGACGGATTTCAGCTACCCATTTGCCCCAATGCCTCTGCCTTACGCCACGGTAAAGCTTTGTTGTGTTTATAGGCTGCAATGGCGGCCTATACAATTGTTGAGAGTCTTGTCCCAAGCGGCTCATCATCGTCATCCTCCTTCTTGGACTCAATGTATCACTCCAATATTGAAGAAGCTGCTGCTGCTGCGGCAGCAACTGCGGAGGCGGTACCGGTGACGATTCTCCGGCAAAAAACGGTCGATAAACGAACCCATGTTGCTGCTGCTGCTGAGGACTAAACGAGATAATCTGTTGCTGATTTTGCAGCGACGGGCGGGGCATTGGCTGAGGTAAGTAAACCGGCTGCTGGGATGCATCGAAAGCGAAAGGGAAAACCAGTTTCGAAGATGCCAAAGAAGCATTCGTCGAAGAAGAAGAAGGCGAAGGTAAAGAAAGCGTTAGAGAAGGTGAACTAGAAGACGATTGGTCCGCCATTGAAGCAAATGATCGAACAGGTTCCTGACGTCGTTGAGGACTGCGAATCTTCTTGTGAGGCCTTTGTGACATGGAAGCTTCACCAAAAACTGGCTTCCATTGCCGTTTTTCGAACCCAAAATCAAGCTCGTTCCCCTTATCAATCTGCCAATCTTGCCCGCTACCCATCTTCTCTGTTCCATCACTAATACCCTTCTTGGATTCGCCACTATAATTTGCAGCAGCCATTGATAAATACTTCAATAAACCACTGGAGAATCGCTCGCTCTCTCTAATTCAAAAACTTCAACAAAAACCCAAAGCCGAAATAATAAAAATAACAATAGATGGAAAGGTTCAAAATGAAAGGTATCCCAAATTCAAATGTGGTCAGAACTCAGAAGATTAAAAAAAACAGAGAGACCCAAATTCAGAATCTGGGAAACGAATTCAATAGCTAACCGAATGGAATATATTGAAAAGAATCAGATGAAAATTCATGATCATTGACCCCATCCCAAAAACTTGGGCTTTGAAATTAAAAAAAACAGAGAGAGCGAGCTCTTTTATTTTTTTCGCTTCGATTTGCAACGAGCAAAGCCTAAACGAGTGCTGAAAGGCGTTGGATTTCGTTGCTTTTTGAAGTGAATTCGATAGATTTCGGAGTGGGGAGTGGGAGAAAGCTATGAATTTAAAGGGAAAATTGTAAAAGAGAAGGAAAATAAAAGGGGGAGGCTCTGTTTTTTTTAGAGAAATGTAGAAGAAAAATGCAGGGGGAGGTGAAGGAGCTTATAATAACAGAGAGAAGTGGAGAATCCTTTCATTGTTGGGCCCTACACGGGGTTGGCTTGGTCTTTTCCGTTTTTTCGTTGCTTTCACTCCAATTTTCTCTATGTCTCATATGTTGGTAAAATTATTGTTTTGGTTTTTCAACTGTGTTTAAATGCAAGATTTGGTCCCTATAACTTTTATATCTTCTATGTTCAGAATTTGAGACGGTTTCTCCCCATAATATTATCTCCAAAATTAAAAAAATGAAATTCTATTATCGAAAGTATAATGTGTCTTAATAGTACACCTAACAATTGCTAGTAGTTTATCTATTTATTTCAACATAATTTTTTTAAACTTTTAAAATGTTATTATTTGTTGAAGGAAGTTTAGAGTGCGTATATTTCTTATATATAATGAAGGAAAGAAATTGTAGAATGTTGTTGGGACTCCAAGGAATTCTGATGATGTGATTCAAATAATTGAGGAGGAGGTCCGATTGAGGTTTATAGAGGCAACCATAACTCGGAGGAAGTTAACATTATACTATGTCGTGATTAGGGTATAGATTAATAAAGTAGGTATGGTATTGTATTTTGATTCATCTGATGTAAATGTAATATAGTTTCTATTTAAAGATAATTATTAAACATTTGATATTAAACACTCATATTTCTTATACTTTTTATGCTCAAATCGAAGATGTTAAGAAATAACAGTAATTTTTTTACTACTAAGATCGTTTTATTTTTACTTTAATTTATATAATTTTAAATGGTGATAATATTGGAATATGAGACACAAAAGTAGATACGCATAGTAAGTATGTGCGTCTCACCGTACACTGGCGTGGCAGCCACTGGTTAAAAGTAGGTTGTGGGCGGTGGGTTTCAGACGACTTACGGTGCACCATGGAGTCGCATCGCGCCGCTGCCTTTTGAAAAATTTGGCCATTCTTCCTATGATTGACTATCGCCATTTTGGTTTTAAACGCCACATTTAAGTCAAAGCCGAATTGCTGCATGTGAAATGTAATCCCATCAGCAGCAGCGTCCAAAGGTGCGTTTTTTATCGGTGAAATTCCCATTTTAGTCAGCGATTATTGAAATACCCCATTTATTCACAACGTTAACATTTATTAATAAGATAATCAAGTCAAATAACAATATGAAATTCATTTCAATTTTGGTTATTCTCTTATTATAATTTATATATGATAACCGTGTGATATTACATTTTTTCTCTCGATTTTAGGATTTCTCCATAATTATTTCGGATCGACCCGTATTGCACACTTGATTTTGGTGTGTGAGTCTCTCAACGGAGATTTTTTGCATACTCGATGTCTCAAACTCGAGATATGTTTAAATTATATCAAATTGTTTACCACTTGAATCAAACCCTGTTGATTATGATATTATATATTTAAGGCAAAAGAGTCACTTTTACCCCTATAGTATACTTGATTTATCATTTTTTGTCTCAGCCATATTTTCGCATTAATTTAACTCTCGAAATTACTCAATTGTATTATTCTATATCTTATTCCTCACTTAAAACTCTAAATTAAGGGTTTTAAATTAGATATTAAGGTTTAGATGTTATGGAATTATGGTTTAGGGTTATCAAAATAACTTTTTAAGTTAGGGTAGGGTATAGAATGATGCAATTAAACAACTTTGAGGATAAATCGATGCGAAAATACGATAGAGACAAAAATAATAAATTGGGTCTACTACAAAGATTAAAATAACCCTTAAGCCTATATTGAAATATTATTTGGATTTATATTTTTAATAATATAATAGCAATTGATTTGCTATTTAGGGTTTGGTTAATTTTGACAATTAAAGGGTCAATCCATTTGGTTGGTCCTACCATGATTTTAATTATTTAGGGGTACGGTGGCACTTAGTCTATTTGCTTTTACCAATCAAAACCGACCAATTTTATTTTTTTTTCTTGGTGAATTTCGTCTTCCTTGTCTTTTACAAAAGTTTCAATATATTTTTAAATGTCCAAACCATGCATGCACACAATTCATAATATTTAATTCAAATTAATGTTTTATAACATTAATGTTCAAACCAATTAAATCATCATTTTTAGTTAATTAATTTACAATTTACTAAATATTTAATTTTATTTAACTGGTTAAATAAATTAAACCAATAGTAATTAATATGTTGAAACTTTTAAATATTTCCTTGGTTATGATCTGAAAAAAATTTATGACCTGATAAGAGTAGATACCATAAGTAAACAACATATATTTAAAGAAAATAGATGATATTATTATTTTACATGTGATCAAATTATAAATATCAATTCTACATCTCTGTATATTCAATTATATTATTATTATTATTTTATTAAAAATAAGTAAACAACATATATTTAAAGAAAATTTACTAACAGATGTTGGTTAAAGTGATAAACAACTTAAAATTACTTAAGTAATATTTTGAGTTTAAGTTATTGTGCATGTAAAAAAATTATATTAAAAAATTCATCCACTAAAATTAGATATACGATACGAATAGATTCATAATAATAAAGTCAAAATCTTAAAACTCGAAAAAGGAAGAAAAAAAGAAGATAATTTGATCCATCGAAATCATAAATAGTAAAATACATTTTATTAAATGGATGAATGAATGGCAATGGTGAGAGTCGTCTGGTTATGTCGTTATTATAACGGGTGTCTATGAAAGTCGGTGCGAATCGGCAAGTGTCGGTGGTCCAACAAATCACGAGTTGACACATCATAATTCTCTTCCTCTTTTCTCTTTTTATATTGTTTCCTCTTAGCTAACGATAAATATCTTACTCTTTGTTTATTTATTTATTTACTTTGAGGCCAAGCTTATTCCACGAAGGACATACTCATTGACTCACCATTCATCTCCAAATCAAGTCATGATTATCCCTTAATCTCGCGTTTCATCTTATATAAATAAAATTAAGAGATTATCGACAGGATTGATTGAAAACGTAAGCAATTTAATATCGTTTAAATAAGATCGAGTTTGAAATTTACCTATTAAAGTCTTGTGTGTAAAATAGATCGATCTAAATTAATTAAGGCGAAGTCTTAAAAACGGAAAGGTAACAAAAAAAAAAATTAAAAGATTATCAATAATTAATTCATCTAGTGGGATAAGGTTATAAATTTGCAAGTTAAAAACTCTTCCTATAATAATTTTCGCATCCACCATTTTACCTTTTGCTCATTCAAATACATGTTATTTAATCGTACAGTGAAGAGACATAAGAACACACGTAAACTTTTCTGTTAGAATATATGAAATTAAAAAATTATTATAAAAATTTAGAGGGATGAAATTGTAAAATTTCAAGGTATAAAATCATATCATTAATACAAAAATAAAAAATATAAATTATATAAAATTTTAAAGATACAATTTCACTTCCAACACCTTCTGAATCCATCCTGATGAGACACAACAAATTAATTATTATATTCAATTAATAATTAATTTCTATATCATGTAAAAGCTTATGATTATTTTTAATTTTTTTATAATTTAAAAAAAATATTTTTAGTCCCTATGTTATACATATATTATAGATTTATTATTATTTTATGTAGGGGTGCGTTAGTGGGGAGGATGGCTAAGGAAATAGGGAGTTGACGCGTAACGTTGAGATTTTGACCAGTTAATATTGGCATTTGACTCGACAAAAGCAAGGTACGCAACTACGCATCATAAAATATCTAGATTTTCATGGCTATTCCATTTATATGGGTTTTTTTTATATAACTTTAAATTATTTAAAAAATTTAATTTTTTGAACCGAAAATAATAGTTACTTTTATTGATTAAATACAGATAAAATATAATAAAATTATATTTTTTTCACAATTAATAAAATTATAATCTTGAACAAAAAAAGTCTACAAAAAATTAAATCAATTAATGACATTAACCAATCATTATCTCTAAAATAATCAAAGAACATAAATTAATCAGTAAATGATGAAAATAGAATCATACTAATAAATGATTATAAAAAATACGAACAAACATCATTTTTTGAAAGTGAAAACTAAACATCATCAACACTAACATAAAAACAAATATAATAACAACATGACGTTAACGATTGGCCTTATCACAATTTGGACGTGATCTATCTTAAGTGATTGCGAACACTTACCAATATTAAAGAACCAACTCGATGTCGAAATTAAAGATATATTAAATAAAAGGTTTAAGAGTCACTTTTGCCCCTGTAGTATGTCTAATTTATCATTTTGCCCCTATCGTATTTTTACATCAATTTAACCATTAAAGTTGTTTAATTTCATCATTCTATACCTTACCCCTAACTTAAAATCCTAAATTGATAACCCTAAACCTTAATATCTAATTTAAAATCTTCAAATTAGGGTTTTAAGTGAGGGGTATGGTATACAATGTTGCAATTGAGCAATTTTGATGGTTAAATTAATGCAAAAATATTATAGGGATGAAAAATAATAAATTAGGTCTACTAGAGGCGACCTAAATAAAATAACTAATTAAACATTAATTAAAAACAACAACATCAAATTCAACCTTTTAAAAAAATACCCACCATTTGACCTTTAAAGTATACTAATCTTTTCATTTTGTGTCATGATACAATTTAGACCAACAAACTCTATAAGGTACAAAATGAGAAAATATGTATACTTTAAGAGCCAAAATGAAACAACTAAAATTTAAGATACATATGGAAAACATGAGTATACTTGAAGTGCCAAATTGAAAATTAAACCCTTAGTTTATATAATTATTTTATACAAAGAAAGTATAGATTCCATGTAAAAGGTAGTGGAATATAAAGCTTAGCCTCAAACCTTAGCCGATGTACGACATGAGAATAAAGCTTTGTCTCGGTCAACTTATATATTTTTATAAAGGTTTAAGCTTATTATTGTTTATATAGTAGATCAAATTTATTATTTCAGTTCTTATAATATTTTTGTATTAATTTAGTTATTAAAGTTGTTTAATTGCATAATTATATATCACATCTTGAACTTAAAACTTTAAACCCTAAACCTTAGACCTTAAACTATAACCCTTAAACCCTAAGCTTAAACCTTAATTTTAAACCCTAAACAATGACAAATATTATAAATATTGATGAAATTGAACAACTTCAAGGGTTAAATTGATGCGAACATACCATAAGATAAAAATGATAAATTGAGTTTACTACAAAGACAAAAATAACTCTCAAGCCTAAAATCATAATCATTAGAAACAATTATAATTATAGATAATATATATTCGAGTAAATTAAAATCAAATGGTTTAATCCTTATCTTTAAATTAACATTTTATAAATAAAACTCGATTGAATTTAATACAAAATTTAAATATAATGAAAGAGATGGAGTCAGTTCATGAGTTGGTGGAACTTATATTACAATATCCATAGGCTTTGGGATATTTTCAATTAAAAATATATAAAATAAAAGTCAACTCACACATGGGTAGACAAAGTGTTTGTCTTAGATGGCAACAATATCAATACCATAAACTTCTATTTTATATGATTCTAGGGTAAACTACACTATTGGTACCTGAACATCTAGAGTACTTTCATTTTATTCACTAAACATTTAAATTTTGTATTTAACTCCTCCTCTTCATTAATCTTTTAATTTTGTAACGTAATTATAAATATTATTTTTAGAAAATTAATATACTTTGATTGATTTTATAAACATATTTTTATAATATTTTATAATTTATGTTACCATTAATATATTTTCACAAATAAATATGATTAATTTCAATCACAATTTAATCTAAATATTGAGTAAATATATTTCAATCACTATGCTTATTAAATAAACTTTTATAATAAAGATAAACCAAAATGTATGACTCTAAATTTTTGTATATATATTTTACTTGGGAAGTCCATTTGATCTTTTGGAATAAACCATATATTAAATGTTAATGTGTATCTTTTATATTTTAGTTTTTACTCTTCAATAATTCATAAAGTGTATAAAATATACCAACAGTCCTTATACTTTTACAAAATTTGATATATAATCATGTATTTCAAAAGTGAAACTATATCCTCTTATTTTTTATTTGGATATCTTAGTTCAATTGTAGGTAAGTTGATCTTAACATGCTGATCATGCTACTCTCTTATGATTTGACATATTTTATCACATGATGCATCCTAATTAGCATGTCAAGTTCATAAGTTTGGGGGGGGGGGGAAATTACTAGGTCAAATTTTGTCATTGATCATTGTATTATGTGTAAATTATGGATTTAGTCTCTAATCTTATTTAATTAAACTTTACCATATGTTTTTTTAATTTTAAAAATTAAGTCCTGAATCAAACGACAATGGATAATATATATAAATTATAAAGACTGAAAATGATTAAATTAGAGAATATGAATTGAATCAATAACTTGTTGATAATATAAAGACTATTAATAGCAAACTTTGACTTAATAAATTTAAGATTTTTTCCGAATTTTTATTTTAAAAATTAGTCAATGGATAATTTTTGTTTCTATAGTAGACCCAATTTATTATTTTCGCCCATATCGTATTTTCTTATCAATTTAGCCGTCGAAGTTGTTCAATTGCATCATTCTATATCTTACCCTCACTTAAAACCCTAAACCCTAAATTTAGGGTTTTAAGTTAGAAATTAAGGTTTATGGTTTAATGTTTAAAGATTACGGGTAATGGTTTAGGGTTATCAATTTAGGGTTTTAAATTAAGATTAGGATATAGAATGATGCAATTAAATAATTTTGAGGGCTAAATTGATACGAAAATATGATAGAAGAGAAAAATGATAAATTGAGTCTACTACAGGGGCAAAAATTATCATTTTGCCTTTAAAATTTGAAAAACTAAACTAAGTTAGAAAATAAAGATTAAATCCACAATTTGCATATAATATAACCAATAACAAAATTTTAATGAGAGATGGGTATTTGATCTAAATTCCACGAGTTTTGATTCAACCTAATTCCATAGGGTTGAGTATTTTTCCTTTTTGGAATTTCAGGTTTGAGTTAGATTTTTTTAAGGATAAAAATAGGTTGAGTTCATATTCAGGGTGAAAAAGATCTGACCCGGACTAAAATAATAGTATAATTGATATTTATATATTTATGGATAGTTGCTATAATACACCCTCTTTATATTTTTTCAATTAAGTCCATATTTTACCTAATAAAAATAACAATTATATAAATTTAAGTCAGATCGGGTGTAATATTTTACCCTCAAAACCGAGTCGATTGGAGCTTCTTTAAATCCGAGTTGAATGATGAATGAAAAAAATATTATATTCGAATTAGATTCGTGTAGACCAAAAACCAACCCGAGCCATGAGCATCATGATTTTAACCTATATATATAAGACACATTTATCTTTTGGTTTGGATCAATATTTGTATTGGATTGGTCTCAATCCAGGAAGCCCAAGTCTCGTGCCAATTGGGTGCTGGATCTTGCTCAACAATGGCATATAATAAAGCTTGTAATGGACCACTATGACCAAACAAGTCCAACTCCAAACTTTTTTTTTTCTTTTGATTTCCAATATTTTGTCATGAAGAATTCGGACCGACCTAGGTCACACACTTAACTTTAGTGGGTGAGTCTCTCGATGGAGATTTTCTGTTTACATAAGAACTCAAACTCCAAACTTAAACGATATTAAACTACTTACTTGAACTCTATTAACATTCATTAACAACGCCAAACGTTGATGAAGTCGCATATTGGACCGACCCTCTATGTACCAAAATTAATTAGCTACTTAACGTAAAACGAAGCACACGAATTCTGTGATGAAATATTATGATAAAAATTAAGGGTGTATTTGGTTCGGTTCGATTCGGTGTTTTTACTAAAAATTGAGCCAAATCGAAATAAACTGGTTTTTAGAATTTAAACCGAAACTGAATGGTTAAAAAACCGAATTATGTGAAACCAATTTTTTCGGTTCGGTTCAGTTTTTTAACGGTTTGATTTTTTCGATTCGGTTCGGTTTATCGGTTTTTCAAAGAAAAATTCACTTGAAACTATAAATTTTAAAAAAATTGTATATTCGGTTCAATATGGAACAAATGGGTTCCATATGAAAAACCTGAACCGAACCAAATCAATAGAATTTAGACTTTAAACCAACACGAAAACCGAACCGTATAAAGTCAAACCGAACCGAACCGTTTTACTCGATTCGTGTCGGTTTTTCGATTTTCTCGGTTTCGTTGCTCAACCCTAATAAATATACTAATTATATTCATATATGCTACGATGAAGGCAAGTAACCAGGGAACTGAATGGCTTTCAAATTGCCATATCATGCAGATCATACATGCAGCCATTTTCATCCAGCCAAAGAATCAACCCACGTTCTCTCCCTCAAATACCATTTTCTAAAGTTTTCGTCTTTCTTCATTGATTTGTCCTTTGCTTGTCAAATCAAAATTACATTTTACGACAAAATTTATCTCTTTCTTCCCTTTTCTGGGCATCTTTGTATGTGTGATTATTATATATAGAGAGATGGAAATGATGAGAGGTTGAATCATTTGTCGTTTCCCATATCTTCAATAATAATCCTTTTTGGACCATTTTTCCTCTTACCTCATTGCAAGGCTGATAATTGAACGGTGCCTGTTAGCTTAATCTGAGTTTGTTCTTGAATCAATTTTTGTAAATTGTTATATTTCAATTGAATCAGCCTATGTTACTCGGATTCTGGTGTGTCAAAATAAAGATTTATAGAGGTCATGTCTTCTTGTTCATGTGCTCGACACCAGTGTCTGATATGGATATTTCAAGAGAAAAACGAAGAATCCGAGTAACATATGAACTAGCTGATTATTATGATATATGTTAATGTCTGCTTTTCTGTGCTTGCCTCTTGCCTAATGTTGTCATAAAGTTTTCGCCATTGTGGCAAGCTTAATGATCTTTTGTAGCATTCTATGTGCAAAGCTTAATCTACAATGATTTAGCCTCTAAATGTAGGTTGATGAGGACCAAGTTTACCGGAGACAAAAGAAGGGCGGGGTGAGAGTTGGAATGGACATCCGATTCGACTCGTGTAATATAGCAGTCGACTCAAGGTTTTTGTTCCTAATTGTCTTTATATGTGTGCCTTGAAGCTCTACGTTTGTTCGATCGATATTTGGTGTTTAAGGGGACGTTATGGCATAGCAAATGTAGCCAAATAGAGGGAGAAGAGAAGAATTGTGAACCTTAACCAGTATGTATAATCCCCCATAGGAACATTAGTCACTTTGTGCTCTTCATGGAATAGGCTTTAGACAGACCGATGACCGATTATCGGCATTTCGAATAATAGAGGGAGCTAGTTCTTTATAGGTTCGTTGTACATGTTTTCTCCTTCATCTAGAGTCTCAGCTTGTGCTGCATAGAGAAATTAAGCAGAACAAAACTACTTGAAATGTGTTTAACTGCAATGTTTTGGGCTTTGTTGACCATTTCGGCATCTGATCGGTCTTTCATTGTTGTAGCTAATGCTATGGCTGGATCACGATCTTGGATAGGAGGGGTTTTTAATCGTTTAAGCAATAAGCGCCATGAGAAGTTCATCGAGTACCCTTTGACACCTATTCAGGTAAATTGAAAATGTAATTTTATCTTACATCATAAATTACCTGATTCCCTGTAATGTTGATTTAATAGGATCAAAGACTTCAAAAGCTTCGAGAACGAATGCAGATACCTTTCGACGAGACTCGTCCTGACCATCAGGTACTTTGATCGGACTTGGTTATCCATCATAAATATCAACTTTGGTTATTCATTATAATTCTTTGTTGTGACAGGAAGCTCTCAGAGAATTGTGGCACATTGCATTTCCTAATGTTGCTCTGAAAGGATTGGTATCCCAACAGTGGAAAGAAATGGGGTGGCAAGGCCCTAATCCATCGACCGATTTTCGGTACGATTCTTTTTGAGTACCTTAACATACAATCTATCTTCTGTTGTCTAAAAGTGAGCTTCTCTCCATAGGGCTTGCGGTTTTATATCTCTGGAAAACTTGCTGTTTTATGGCCGAACATACCCGGTGAGCCTTCGGTCTGGTTTCAGTTCTTTACATGTCTAAATTTCTGCAGGAAGATTGGATTATTTACTAATGTATAAAAATACAAAATGAAGGCATCTTTTCGTAGGTTATTACTTAAGCAAGACGGAACTCGAGCAACTTGGGAATACCCTTTCGCCGTCGCCGGCATCAATATATCTTTTATGTTGATTCAAATGTTGGGTTTATTATCAGGTTTGTTGGGTTTCTTTTCGTGGAGTCCAAGTTTCTGAATGTTCTGATATGTTTAGAGGATCCGTGATAGCTCTTCCATAATCTATGTTATATTGTTCTTTTGCAGAGAAACCAAGTAATCTCCCCGGATTGAACTTCCTGAAACTATTAGGAGGTAATGAAACTGTCGATTAGAGTACTTTACGCTCGAGCCTTGTTCTCTGTATTCAATCTCTTGATCTAAACATTAGAAATTGCAGAAGACGAACAAGCCTTCGATGTACTATATTGTATAGCCTTCGAAATGGTCGATGCCCAGTGGCTTGCTATGCGCGCTTCCTACATGGAGTTCAAAGTACTCTCTCTTTCTCTCTCAATCTCTCGAATCTGCATTCCCACATTCTTGTTTCGATAAAAATTCCGACCGGATGCTGCATTACATGCACTTGAACCATACAAATTGTCCATTTATTTTGAGAATATCGAATGATATTGTTTTATTGAAAATTGGCAGCATGTATCCTGCCTGTGTTTTCTCATCTTCCTTTGACATGTTACAAGTAGATGATAAAACCACATTACATCCCGAATTTTTACTGGATCTCTTTTCCTCCGGCCCGGTTTTTTATTCCGATATCGATTAGTACTGTGATGTTCATTCCTGCAGAAGGTTTTACAAGCAACGGGCTCACAGCTGGAGAGAGACCTGTGTTTGGATAGCGTGCGTAGAATACAGGATTTACCAGCATACAACTTGTTATACCAGTAGCCTCCGGTTCCGAACGTTCTCCGACCGGAACCATCGTCATTCTTGTATATGTTTCCCGAATGATGGGGGTGTTCCAAGTCTGATGGCTATTAACTGACTTGTTAAAAAAGACTTGAAAAATATGTAATTCTTATTCTAGGCTACGGTTTCGATGCTTCACGACCGAGATTCGCACCCTAAACCGCAGCCGAAGCTTAAACCGACGAGGCCTTGAACGCATCCCTTCGGCACATATACTCTGTTAAGATCTCGAGTTACAGAAATAATCTGCAGAGCTTTCATTGAAGTTCTGGTAGATGCATTTGACATAAGCATATATTTGGTTCCTCATTTGTTTGCTAATTGAGATATGAGATTAAAATAGTCTTAGTACATTTATTATACAATTTGAGTGGGATGATTACACGTGGCAAATTGTAATTTACGGATTTTTTTGTTTGTATACTTTTTTTTATAATCTTGTTTAAAGTGTTATTTAATTTTTTTCAATTATTGTGATTTTTGTTCATCTTGTGTTTAGTCGATTACTCAAAAGTAACAACATTAGAAGAAGAAGAAGAAAAAATGAAAATTAGAGATTAAAATTAACCTACTAGAGTATAGGGAATAAATTTATAATTTATGCAAAATATAAGATTAGATAACAGAATTGATCTATTAGAGTAACAAACGCTCATTTTCAGGGAAAATTATGTGTTTAGTACCTAAATTATTATTTTTAGTATGTTTTTTATCTATTTTTTTAAAAATCATACATAATGTTTGGTCTTTGTTTCATTTTAGTACTTATCGTTAAATACATAAAGGATAAGCTAACATGACATAGTTCTGGTGGACGGACAATTAATTTGAACGGTGGAGCTTGATAGAATTACAGGTCGACCAACATAGTCCAGTTTCAGACCCATCGGACGATGGAATATAGAAATCAAAGGATAAAGAAATCGAAAAATTTATCGTCAATTTGAGGAGATTGATATATTTTTTCGGTGAAACAGAGATCAAAATCGCGTTTAGAGAATAGAAAATGTACGTACTAAAAATTTTGGACTTTATCGACTAATGGATGCGATGGATGACGACTGTAGACGTGATGACCGATGAGTCTGCCTGTTAAATTTTTAATATGATTATTAAAATAAAACAAAAATTAAACGTTAAATATAATTTTAAAAAATAAAATTTAAGCACTAAAACATATTAAAACTAATCATAATTTACCCATTTTTTTCATAGAAAAAAAGCCATAATTGACTCGGAAATTTCCTTTCTCATAATTCACGAACTGAGTCTGAATTTGCAATCTTAATAAAAACTCAATAAATTTAAACACCATAGCCGTTTAAATCTCGAAATTTCAACCAGTACTGGGTTTTTGTTCATCTTCCTCGCGACAAAGCTTTCTCGGCAGTGTCCATCTCTTCGAGGATCCTCGCCTTTCACTTCGCCGGGATCGGCGCTGTCGGCCCGAAGCTAATATAATGTCCGGAAACTGCGTTTAATGCCGAGTAAATCTCACGGAACGAAGCTCTCCCCAGCAAAGATTTCTCTCTTCTGTACTTCGCCACCCAACTGTTCGACGTATCTCTAAGCTCAGCCACCGCCGTCGCCACGTTGGGGTCGTTCTTGTCCATGTTTATGGTGCTCCGCACCTTGTTGATGACATCGGAGGTCTCTTTCACGTACTCCTCGTCGGCGGCGGCGAACGCCGGTGGTGTCACTGGCAGAAGCGATGAAAGAGATAATGTGGAAGTTACGGCGGTGAGGGACAACAATTGTCGCCGAGAAGGCTGGTGGAGTTGCGGAGGATAGGAGGGCGGCGGAACTGCGGAGGTGGTTTTGGGTTTGACGGGGAGGAGGGGTTTGAGCTTGGAAGTTGGGGTTAGTAGTGTTGGGGATGACATGGTGTTTTTGGGGTTTGGTGCGAGGAAATTTGTGTTTTGGTGTTTGTAAAGAGAAATGGGTTAGTGCCACGTGGCCTTATCTCCTTATCCAAAATTTTGAGTTCTAATGGCTGAAATAGGATTCAATGATATCTCATATAGATTTACCTATGCCCTAAGTGGCAATAGATTTGAGGCTTTAATCTCATATAGATTTGGGATTCAATAATTTTTGGTGTGTGAAAAAAAACTAAAATAACGAATAATTTGTTGATTTAGTGAGATGAGATACTAGATATTTTAAATAAAGTCAGAGATTTAAATCATAATATTATGAATGGAGTAAATTTGATTTGGAATTTGTCCCTAATAGGTAAAATTTCATGGAATCAATTAGACTTTGTTTTTTTTAATAGTATGAGGTAATTACACTGTAATATATATTCATAATATCTCTTAATCATTGACAATATACCCGTAAAAAGATTAAATTAAAGAAATGAAAAGTATATAGACTAAAATTTAAAAGTGAAAAGATTAATGGACCGGATCAATAATTAAACCAAACAAATATCATCATATTACTAGCAAAGCAAGCACTAATTGGCCCAAAAAAAAGCCCGTTTTTCAACTATAATTTAAAAACCCCAGCCGCGGCCCGCCAAATTTTCTCCTCCATATTTTCTCTACAAACAAACAGACGCACTATCCATTTCCAAAAATAAACTTAACATCAACCAATTCATTTGAATCCATCTCTCTATTTTTATTTTTGTTGTTTAATCTGTTTTACTTTGTTTTCAGTGTAAGTAGTTTCATTTTTGTGATTCAATGAGCGCTTTCGATGAGGACGAGGTGAATCCTTTCTCGGTAAGTTCCGTGAACTCACGTATTTTTTACGTATCCGTGTATCTCACTTTCTACAAATTGAAACGTCTTAGTGTGGATTTGAAATTTTGTTCTTCTGTTTCCTTTTTAGCGAGATTTAGATGATGGGTTGGCTTAAGTGTTAGATCTGTTTAGTTTTTCATTTTTGATGCCAGTATTTAGTTTGTTTCAGGATGGAATTTATTGTGTTTCGTAATGTAGTTCTAGCGGTGACTATGTTTATTTGATTTCACTTTCTTTGCGTGAATTGATAAGATACGAATCGAAAGAAACTGATTGTTTAGACGCTCGTATTGCTGTTTTCTGAGCTGTACGTTTTAAACAGTAAAGTAATATGAATTTAAGACTGATTTTTCTTTAGTAGAACAAGATAAATAAGCTTCATGGATCTTTTTGGTGAATATAGTGATTTAGCTTGTGGACTTCTTCATTCTTGTTTTTTTTGGCTCACCGTGACGAGTGCGTTTCGGTTTTGTTTTGTTGCATAATCCATCAGTTAGGAAAAGTGAGGCTGACAATTATGGTACAGTAAGTACATTTCTCCTACAATTGTCCGGTTACTTCTATCTGCAAAAGGTTTGATACTGGTAGATAGGGCATGGTTAACATATTGAGCACTTATTTAGTTGTCTATAAGACTATAATGAATAGGTTGGTTGTGATGACTGGTTAAAGCAAACCGTTGGTTTTCTCTTGATGGTCATGCTTTGACTTGATGCTAATGAATATGGTCAGGGAAATGCCTCGAACTTTTAGTGGTCTTAGTGGTGGTTGCTACTCTTAGTAGTAATGGTAGTGGTACCGAAACTCTTTTCTTATTTTTCGAAATTTGCAAGGAATGATTTTGGTAATGTTTCTTGCAGTGTAATTGTTTGACTGTTTCTGGTGTGACTTGCTTACTTTCATATCTTTGCATGCAGTTTTGCATATGAGTTGTGTTTCTGTATGCATGATTTGGTGATCCTTTCTAGTGCTAACTATCTTCCTTGTGCTTCTCTTAATTAATTTTTTTAAAAAACTCTAGACTCTTGAATCTTATGAACGTGTTGCACCAATAGATATTCCTCTTGATACTTCTGCCAAGGTTTCCTAAAACTTTCCAGATAATAGTTCCGTATGCATGGTGGTTCTCAACATTCTCTTTAAGCATAAGATTCTCTTTCATTGTTTTTGTCTCATCGATTGTAGAGTTTAAAAGGAAAGGAGAAGGAACTCAGAGAAAAAGAGGCTGAACTGCAAAGGCGAGAAGAGGTGATTCTTGTTTTTTGTTTATACATGAGCAAGATACTCATGCATTTCAGACTTGCATTTTCAATTATACACTTCTACAAAAACAATTTAATTACTGGCACCATGTCATTAAAATTCAAAACCAAAATTTTTTCATTATCAATTTAATTCAATATTTTAGTTTAATTTATTTCTTTCTATGTGAATTCTTGTAAAATATTTTAGTTTAATGTCATCTTTTTATCATGCAGGAACTGAGAAGGAGGAAGCACTTGCCCAATGTTTGTTTTTCCTGTTGTTTTATTATTGAAGACTTAATGTGCTTGTGCATTACCAATATGAGTTCACCATATATTCTTGCTTTTGTCTTGGCAGCTAGAGTAGAAATAGAGGAGAAAATTTGGCCGCCATTCTTTCCTATTATTCATCACAACATTTCAAAGGAAATACCCATCCACCTACAACATATGCAATATGTTGCTTTCACGACATTGTTAGGTGAGTTAAGATTAAAGTTTTCTGCTTTGAAATAACTCAAATAGGTTCTGTATTCAATAGTTTAAACTTTAAGTGGGACTCTGCTTGGAATTAGTTTTTGATTCTTTTATTAGTTCAGTCCATCGTTCTCTGCTCTATGTTTTTCCTCTCTGTCTCTCTTTTTTCACATATAAACCTTAGGTGAGCCTTTTAGTTAAAATGTCTGAATGCTAAATTGTTACGGTTCTCTATTACATCGACAGGTTTGCTTCTGTGCCTTACATGGAATGTAATAGCTGTTACTACAGCCTGGATCGAAGGACAAGGTAGAACCTGAAAGTCACTCATTTTAGTACTTAAATCATTATTGTTAATTTGGTGTTTCTAATTATATTATGAATGCATATATTATTTGACTCCAGGTCCAATAATCTGGTTACTTTCCATTATTTATTTGATAAATGCGGTTCCTGGAGCCTACTTCTTGTGGTATCAGCTGCTATATCGTGCCATGAGGTGCCACTTTTCGGTAATTCTATATCAGTTTCACATTTAAAGTAGTATCAATATATGCTAAAAGAAATCTGCACTATCAATCTATATTTACAGCAATCTTCTAAGTGTCTATAGCCTGGAACTCTTCAAAGATTTCACTTCAGCTAATGTTTTGGAAATGCCACTTGCAGTACACACTTAGGTTCACTCAATTTTTAGTATGATTTTATATAGTTATATGTCTGTTCGATTACAGGACTGATAGTTCATTCAATTTTGGATGGTTTTTCTTGTTTTACCCGGTAAGCTTACAGCTTTCTCACTGTAATTGTTTATAGAAATCGAAAAGATGTCGGAACTCCCCTCGTTTCTGACTCTTCTATTCTGCCTTACAGTTCCATATAGCCTTCTGTGTTTTTGCTACAGTTACTCCTCCATTTCTTTTCGACTGGAACTCTCTAACGTAAGTTAACCTTTTTCCTTCCTATGAAAGTTTGCTCGTCGGAACATTCGGCCACAATCCGTATTCTGCAGTTCTACGCTTGTAGGAACAGCTTTAATCTCGTATTCGTTTGCGTATAAGTAATTTATGACTGATGTCTTTATGGCTTGTAATTTTTCGTACAGGGGAATTATGCCTGCAATAAGCCTTTTCAGATATAGTGCATCAACCGGGGTAAGTTTGATGCGGTTACGATGCCGTAGTTTATGTTCAGGATCCCGATTTTACGATGTATCCATGTGTAGAATTATACCGGAATACTTGTTCGTTGCACCTCCGAGTAAGGCTTGACATGTTCATGCTTCGCTGAAGATATTTTACTTCATCGGTTTCGCATTCTTTTGCCTCGAATCATTGCTTAGTATCTGGGTTATTCAGGTTCGGTAATCTGTAATCCCCTTTCTTTCATCACCTTTTCATTCGAAATTGCTCGGCTTCGCTTATTGTCTCGGTCTTCTCTTTTCATTCCGCAGCAAGTTTTAGTGTACTTACGACGTAGCGGTAAAGCTGCGGAAATAAAGCGCGAGGCCGCAAAGAAAGCCGTTGCAGCAGCGCTATGATTCCGATCACCAGGCTGCATTGTAGGTTGGCTTGAGTATCTTCTACCATCAATTCATTCACTTATTTGTTTATCTTTTTGCTCGAATCATCGGTTCCTTCATTGCCTAATCATTTCATTGATATGTTCTTTGAGCATAATATTTTCTCAACGCATTGAGAAAAGCCGGTTTCCTCCACCAGGTTAATCTTGTGGCTTTTGGTTCGCTAGAATATTTATGAGAGAATTGAAATCTGTCAGTAATTGGAATCCAATTTTATATTCTGTTTGGTTGGCAGGAAATTGAATTGAAATCCAATTTCATATTCTGTTTGGTTCGCAGACATGTCATATGAATTTGATTTCACTAATGTAAAATGATAGGATTGTCATTCTTCTTTTTTTTTTTTGCTTAATTTTAGTTTGTTTTATAAATTACATGTAGCAATATATTATAAAAAAATTTAAAAAAATTAAATTTTAATTTTATTGATTGATTATTTATTTCAATAAATTATAAAAATTATGCTAATAAACATCATAAGTTAAAATCATTCCAATTTGGGATGGCCATGGGTCGGGTTGGGTCGAGTTTTTGGTCCACCCGACCCGAGAACAAGAGAACCTCCATCCGAGACCGACCCGACCAAAATAAAGTTTCACCCGACCCGACCCGACCCAACCCGAAATAATAAAAAATTATTTTTATTCAATAAAAACATTGACTTAATTGAAATATATATATATATATATATATATAGGGGTACTATTGTAATTATTCTTAAATATATAAGGTAAAATTATATATTTTTTGGGTCGGGTCGGGTATTTTTCACCCTAAACCCGAACCCGACCCGAATAGCACACTTAAAAAAAAACCGACCCTACCCAACCAAAATAAAGTTTCACCCGACCCAACCCGAATATATGAATTAGAAATCCGACCCGACCGGAAATAATAAAAAAATATTTTTATTAAATAAAAACAGTGATTTAATTGAAAAAAATTATATATAGAGGGGTATTATTGTAATTATCCCTAAATATAAAAGGTAAAATTATATATATTTTCGGGTCGGGTATTTTTCACCCTAAACCCGAACTCGACCTGACCCGAATATCACACTTAAAAAAACCGACCCGACCCGACCCAAATATATGAATTAGAAACCCGACCCAACCCGAAATAATAAAAAAATATTTTTATTTAATATATAAATAAGTTACCAATAGATTGATGAGGGTAGTATGGTCAAATTTCAATTCCCTCCAACAAGGGAATTGAATTCCATCATAGAATCGATGGAATTCACTTTCCCTCATTTGATGGAAAGTTGAAGCCATGAGGGATTCCAATTCCCTTGGAAAATTTGAACCAAACATGGGAAAGTGGTGGAATTGGATTCTAATTCCCCCTAATTCCCCCTAATTCCAAGGGATTCATGCGAACCAAACGCCACCTTATAACTTTTTTTCCATATTTAACTTGTTATATACGAGATAAAATCCTATTACACAATGTAAAACTCTTTTAGTTTTACACAAATTTAGAACTCTTAGATAAGTGAAAATAGATGAATGAGATTAACAATAGAATATGAGAAATTATTCACTGGAAAAAAAAAGATTCAATTTCGGTCATCTATTTTCACTCATCTGATGATCCTAAATCTGTGTATAACTAAAGAGTTTTACATTGTGTAATTGAATCATAATATGTTTTGTATATATAATTGTACACTTTCAGTGTGTACGGGTCAATTAACATCTGTCATATGCCCCAAAACTATGACCCTCATTTTAAATTAATCCATAAACTTTTCAATATTTTAATTTTATCCTCAAACTATGACTCTCATTCTAAATTAGTCCTTAAACTTTTGAACATTCTAATTTCATCCTTAAACTATGAATCTCTTTCTAAATTAATCCCCAAAGTTTTGAATATTCCAATTTCATCCCTAAATTCATACAAATATTTAATTAGTTTCAACCATAGTTTAACCTAATTTTTTTTCAAACATATAATAATATAATTTGACCTAATGATTTTATTAATGAAGGATGTGATTAGTATATACATATAATTTGGGATGAAATTGGAATGTTCAAAAAGTTTAAGGACCAATTTAGAATGAAAGTCATAGTTTGGAGATGAAATTGAAATGTTCAAAAGTTTGAGGACTAATTTAAAATTATTTTCATAATTTAGGGATGAAATTGAAATACTTAAAAGTTTAAGATTCAATTTAAAATAAAGAACATATTTTAAGGACATATGATGTAATTAACTATTTTTTTAAACTTACTTTTAAGAGAGGGAAAGAGGAATTTTATTTTTGATTGATATTAAACTTACGATTTAAGAAATATATAATTTGTCAACTAAAAACTTTTAACCACTTATTCTATGAATTCTTAATTACATAATTACATTTTCAAATATTCGAATTTACATCTTTAGACATAAATGAATATATGGTATTGTATGATCAATATTAATTGAAATAAATTTTAAGATGTGAATCAGAACCAGTAAAAACTTACTTAAGGATAGCATAATTTAGAGGGATTGGCAGATGGTCCAAATATGATAATTTTGATTTATATTTCCATAACATGCCTCTGTGTTAAAGGAATTGATGTTATTTATTGATGATTCGAGTTTAAACACCATAGATATCAAATATATGAGTATTCAATGTCAAGAGATTAAGAGTTATCTTTAAACAAATATCACCTTATACTCATCTCAGATTAATAAAAAAATAAACAAAATAAATTGAATTGGATATGATATAAAAATGTTTTTTATATCACGGGTTCATCTAATTTGTTTGATTTTATCATAGCATAAATGAAATCATCATCTTTGAATATTCATTAGTTTAATAAGATTTTATTAATTTTACATATATTTTTAAACATTTAAATTTTTCTTATTAATCTATGATGCTTACAGGCGATTGCATCAACTCTTTGACAATAAACGTTCAAATACCCTATAGTCTCGATACTCGAACCTAAAACCTCTAGAAATAACAATTATTCATTTGACCACCAAAATAAACTTGATTCGTGTAAACATTTAATTTTATATTAAAAGCACAAAATATTAATTGAATTATAACCTAAATTAATCTCAAATAACATCAAAGGAAGCATTGATTCTTCTATTAATAGTGACATGAAAAAACATGTAGTGTGAATGTATTTGTGCCGCCATTGAAATATACATACATATATTACCATGTATACATATGGGAATTCATAACTAAATTAAAACATTCCTTGAATTGTATAATAGAAACAGTCATAAGGTGGTTGGATGTTGATCGTCGCGAGTTGAGATTCACTTTCGAAATTATGAATACATGGAATTTAGCAAATTATCTATGTATTTGTTCTTCTTGGTCAAAGACATTTAGGCATGGCACATTGAAAAAACGATTTTTAATTTGAATATTGTGTATATTATCCAATAACAAGTAACTACAAATTATTAATGGCACAGCACGCGGTATCTTTTTCTCTTAGCTCCTAAGCAAACTGATAGCTATTATATTAATTTTAAGGGCAAACTACATCGGATATCACCGAACTCTAGATGTTGTATCGTTTATACCACTGAACTTTCAATTTTTCCAATTATAACATTGATTTATTTTCGTTTCAATTATACCACTAAACCGTTAAATCTTTAATGACACGATGATGTGGCTGATGACTGTCGACATAGACACCTCACCAAAACGATGTCATTTTGATTTGGTTTTAACGATTTAACAACCTAGTAGTATAATTGAAACGAAAATCAAAGTTCAATGATATAATTAGTAAAATTGAAAGTTCAATGGTATAAACAATACAACACCTAAAGTTTGGTGGTATCTGATATAGTTTACCCTAATTCTAAAGTTAAAAAAATAATCTATAAAATTGATTTTTCTAGTAACATTTTAAAATTGTATCATATCATCATCTAATATATATATATGCCACATTATGGATTTAGTTCATCTACTTTGCTTAAATTTAGAATTTAACATTTGTACTTGAATATGACACAATTTGGTCCTCTACTTTTATAATGTCTTTTTTATTAAAATATTTAATGACGTTAACTATTTTGTATTAGAAAGTTTTCTTAAATATATATATATATATATATATATATATATTAACTAAAATAATTAATGGTGCTAAATCATTTGGACTAAACTAATGGCATTTATTAGAGTATATATATCGTGTTGATAATGTGAGTATATTGTCTTCTTTAATTGTTGTTAAAGAACAAGTACAACCTTTTTAAGTTTTGTTCTCTAACTTTAAAGAGACAATAATTCATGATTTATGGGATATTTTATATCAACAATATTATAAAAGTAGAGAGATTTAATAGGATAAATCAAAGTTTCAGGGGCTAAATTCCAAAATAAAACATTAGTAGAGGGACGAAAAACCACATTTTTACCATTATATAGATTGCAACTGCCAACTTATTATTTATTTAGCATTTTTCTCAACTCGAGATATGCAGGGCCAGGATCCAGCTACCATTATTATTTAAATATCTTTGATTAAAAATTAATATAAAACAAATATTTTCACTTAATTTAGTGAGATAAATTGATATATATATATATATATATATTAAATTTTCTAAAAATCGATGAACTGAATTTATATAATTCGATTCGATTTTTCTTTTCATTTTAAAAATTAGGGTAAAGTATAAAAATAGTCCCGACTAGAGGGTGCTATTTAGTTGAGTCATTCGACTATTAAAAGTTACAAAATAGTCCTTTGACTATAAAGTGTTCTTTGTTGAGTCCCCGACTATTAAAATTTATAAAATGACCACTGGATTATTTACTATATTCCAAACTCGTCCTTTTCCGTTAAAAATTGAACAACCTTATGAGTTATATGTTAATTTGTTGACTGAGATATGATAATTTTTTTGAGATTCTGATATCATATTTTATCATATCTCATTCAGCATGTTGACATCCAGTTCAGACTGTCATCAATTTTTAACAGAAAGTGACGAGTTTGGAACATATTAAATATTTAGGTGACTATTTTTTTACTTTTAATAGTCAAAAGACTAAAAAATATCAGCATATAGTCGAAGGACTATTTTTGTAGTTTACCATAAAAATTAATATATAATGTGGAATTAAACCGAACAGACTCAGCCCCTCTCGTGCTTATATATACAACTGGCCCTTCACAATCCTTGATTAAAATTCCGAACTCTCAATAGCTTTTCTTTCTTCTTTAAAGCTCCAACATCCAACTGTTATTCAAAAGCACACATAGATTCACCGCCAACTACCAAAAGTCATGGTGTTCTTTTGTTTTCTCGTCGATCAGACGCGGAAAGTGAACACGAGTAAGCCGGCGGCGGGGATTTGCTCCCGGTGCGGCGGAGGAGCCAGCGTCGCCGACATGAAGACCTCCACCAGGTTTTGCTACGTTCCGTTTTACTGGAAATCTTGGAGGGCCATCATTTGTACTTTTTGTGGAGCCATTCTTCGATCTTATCGGTAAAAATTCGTAGGAGAAGGACTTTGATCAGATTCAAAGTTCGAATCTCATCAAATATAGATCGAGAGAGCGTTGAGGATGGTGGCATCTTTTAAAATTTTAAATTATCGTGTAGTTTAAATGTTTTTTTAAAAAAAAATTAAATAATTTTTTTACTGACATGAAATGATATGTTTGTTATAATGATGACAATTTGATCCAACTTTAAAGGATTTCGACCCATTTTGATCTTATAAGATCATTTAAAAAATCAAATTGAATTGAGTTGAGTCTTTGTAAAGAGTGAGTTTGAATCGGTTCAAGTTTACAATAAAAAATCTTTGATTCAATTCAAGATAATAATATAATTTTTTAATATATTTAGATATAATTATTATAATACTTCTTTTTCTAAAATTCTTTTTAGTTGTAATTGTTTTTTTGAAAAATAAGTTTTGTATTGTTTTATTGAGTTAAATACATACAAAAGCAGAACTCAACCATTAACGAGTCTCATTCAAAAAAACCCTATATCTAAATGGAGAAAAAATGTACTATAATTATAAGATATATCCTATATAGAGCATTTCGATAATAAAAATGGCGACATGAAGTTGAATGAAATCTTGTTAAACACAAATTCAAGTAAAGAAAATATACCACTTAAATTAAATCAAATTACTAAAATTTTAATCTAATGCAACTCATTATCATCCCTAATCCATTTCTAAATTTTCATTGTTAAGCATCTACTATCATCCTAACAACCAATTGATAACATATATATCTCCAAACAATATCACATATAAAGAAAATTTTAATAAACTAAAGTAGAAGAAATAATTCCAAATTTCACACAGTAATGAAATTTACAGATAGAGTTATTTATTTACTTTTACGGTGGTAAGTGCTAGCGGTTGAGGAATTGAATACAGCACAACAGAGCCGTACAAAATTAGATATCGGTGCAGGAGAAAAGCAACCGAAGCTCAAATAAAAGGGCTTCTTAATTTAATATTTTTCGAGTTATACAGCTAATTGACAGCGCCAGATTAATTTACAGCTTTCACAACATTTATTTATTGGGTTGGCTTTGTCCCCTCCCCCTGTATATTGTCCAGCGTATATGAATAGAACGTTTAATAAATCATTTGTATATTATTCATTTATTAAGTTAAATAAATAAATATAAATAAAATTTTTATACTCATTTGAAAAATAAACGAATATGAATAGATGTGTGTTCAGTTCATTTATATTCACAAATAAGATCATTTATACTTGTGTTCGAAAAAATTCATTTATACTTAAGTTTAAGTTTAAACTTGATTTAAGTATTTATTTATGTAATTTAATAATACATAAATATTTAAAATATATGTTAACAAAAAAAAAACTCTATTAGTTTCACGAATTATTTAAATTAAAATTATAGTACTCAAATTTAATTTAACTGATAACTTGAACTCGACTTAATTATTATTGAATTAAATTTTATTTTTTTCAAGTGGAACTATAATAATGTGTTAATATTAATATCTCAGTTATACTCTATCTATGTGCACGAACAAAGTGATTTTAGTAATAAAAGAATTATTGTTATTTTTTGATATTTTAAATTCAAACATCATAAATGGCGTAAGTGTGAATGTTCAACATCAAATAATTTAAAATTATTTTTAAACGATACTATTAACTAACTATTTTTATTTGTAAATAATTTTTATATTAAAATAAAATATTTAACCATTTTTTTGCATAAAAAAGTTTTAATGCTCTCGGTGGAATTGCGCATGAATTATTTTGTGTGTTGATTTTATTGCATGTTAGATAATAAATTAATAAAGCTTCACAGGTGAGGGTTGAAAACAAAGGACAACGGCGGTTCCATCTATGGTCTATGTATGTATCACCAAAATCAATTGGCAGCTACTGGATTAATAGGGTCCCCTCTCCAACACATTAACTCCCGGAAAAGTGTTTGGTTAACGAAAAATTTATTATTTAGGAATTTTTTTACCCGTCCAGCTCAGTTGTAGAGCGCAAGGCTTTTAATCTTGTGGTCGTGGGATCGAGTCTCATGGTGAATAATTCATAATTCTGACTGTCGGAGGTCTTCCACGGAAGCTGCTCTCAACCTGCCATTGGGGGCAACCTACTATCCTACCTCCCCTTACCCTATTACATAGGAGAATAGAGTCAGTTAATTTTCTATAGTAGTATTTTTTAGTTAAAATTGTGAGAATATAATTATCTTCAATTTTTTAGGTATTATATAATTCTTATCATTTTGGATAAGAATACTTTGGACTAATGAATTCGTTTTTATAATGATTTTTTTCGATTCTTATTTTTTGTGCTTTAGTCAAAATTATAAACATAATAATAATATATAGAAAGTTTGATTTATTAAAATATTAATAAATTTAAAAAAAATTTAATTTTTAATATTCAATATATTACTATTTATAATTTTATGGGATGAAAAAATATATTATTATAAAAATTAATTATTTAAAATAATATTTAATTTTTAGTTATTAAAAATGGATCTTATATATTGAAAAAATATCTTTATCCACTCAACACCATAATATTTTTTATATTATATTATATATAAATAAATATGATATTTATGAAAATTGTTTAAAAATATTAATTTAATATACTAATTATAATAATTATATATTAAATGTATTTTCTTTAAAAGCTAGATTGCATAACGATTAAAATATTTGTTTATTTTTTATTCAAATATTTATAAATTAATATTAAAGTTTAACTTAAAAAATATATCACAAGGTTAGTTTTGGTAAAATATGCATCCAAGTAATATTATATTCCTCCAACTAAACATTGTAATTTTACATTCCTGCAAAATAAACCAAACAAGATAATACAACATTCTCATAGTAATGTTACATTACAATAATGTTATTCCCAAAGATAATCTTATATTCTGTGAACCAAACGCCCCCAGGATATTTGTCTATTTTAAGATTAAAGAACGGCGTGGATTAAGCACAATAAAAAATGTTACAAAAAGTAAAATATTTTTGGTTGAGCACAATTTAAAATATTAACTTTTTTAACATTTTAAATTACGCTCAACTGAAAATATTATATTTTTATAACATTTTCAATTACGCCTATTTTCCAATTTTTCTTAACCTTAAATTAAGATATCCTATGACATAATTATTCTATTAACCCTATATGTCTTATTTCCTTCAATCAATCTTGCATACACTCTCCGCGGTAGATTCATGTAGTCCTAATATATTTAATTTTTAATTTAATATAATAATATAATTGTTTTTTATATATTTAAATATACTTAAGTCAGTTTAGATAATAGACGACAACCCCTAATTTCAAGCCAAACTATAACTTCCATTATAAATTAGTTCTTCAAAATTATAATTTCATCCATAAATTATGACTCTCTTTCTAAAATGATCCCTAGACTTTTGAATCTTTCGATTTCATCCCAAATCCATCCAAATTTATAGTTAGTTTCAACCATATTTTAACCTAATTTTTGTTTTTTCAAACATATAATAATATAATTTGGCCTAATGATTTTATTAAAAAGGATCCAATTAGTATACATGTATAGTTTGGGATAAATTTGAAATGTTCAAAAAGTTTGTGGACCAATTTAAAATGATGGTCATAGTTTGAGAATGAAATTGAAATGTTCAAAAGTTTGAGAATTAGTTTAGAATGATAATCACAATTTATGGATGACATTGAAACATTTAAATGTTAGGGACCAATTTAAAACGAGGATCATACTTTGAGGACATGTAGTGTAATGAACTCATTTTTAAAGATATAATTAACTATTTAAAATGTTAATATTCTTCATTTAATTAAAACATTCAATAAGATACTTTATTTGGATTCATAATATCATGCAAATATCAGTACAAATAGGAAATCGCCACGTGTACAGGATGAATATTCAAGCTTTCTTCGTGGGCCAGGCCTCACATTGTTCCAATGCCCCCAACTCTGCCCAAGAGAAAAAAAAAGGACAAAAAAGATTTTTTTAATGTTATGATTTTTTTTGTCCTCTCTATTTTAGAGCGTTGTCCTGATTAAAGATTTAAATCGATCGTTGTAACGCATTTGGGCTTGGTTGGTAAGTCTTCTAGTGATGATTTCTACTCACACAAAACTTAAACTCGAGATTAGTTTAAGTGATATCAATCTATTTATCATTTGAACCAACCTAATTGATCAATGTTATGATTATTTAAAAGTATTATATTATAATAATTTAATATTTTATAAAAAGTAATATTTTTACACATATTTAATGTAATATTTAATTTTGTTATGAAAAATGTAATATTAAATGTTATAAGTTAGCATAAATCTTGAATCCTTTCGGTTCATAAAACAGAGAAAAATTAAGAAATCGGTTAAACTTAATTAATTTTTTTTAAAAATAAATATATCAGTTATTCTATTAAATATTTCATCAGTTTCATCTGTGTGACTATTAGGGATAATTATTAACAGATTAAGATTGACTTTTTATCGTCTTAAATTTACTATGAAAATTATAAATTATCATATAATTTCGGTTCTATTAATATTTGATGATATTTTATTTAATTTGAATATAATTTTAACTCGAATTTTAAAGTTAAAAATATATCAATTTGATTTGATGTAAATACCTTTTTATTTGATAAAATATAGGGATAATATATGATTTAACTTTATAATAATTATCTTAAACTCAACCATAATTTAATATTAATTTTTTATTAATCTGGGATGTTTATAAGTAGCACTATCTGTTCTAAAGGCTTAATTATTTGATAATAAACGCTAAAATATTATGTGTAAGCTTTAATACTCGAACCACTCTAAAGTTAAGGCAAAAGGGTAATTTTTGTCATTTTAGTAAACTCAATTTATTATTTTCTCCCATATTGTATTTTCGTATCAATTTAACTCTCAAAATTACTCAATTGCATCATTCTATACCTATATTCACTTAAAACCCTAAATAGAGAGATTTAAGTAAGAAATTAAAATTTAGAATTTAGAGATTATGATTTAGGGTTATTAATTTAGAGTTAGTTAAGAGTAAAATATAAAATAACATAATTAAACAATTTTAAATATTAAATTGATGTAAACATATAATAAACACGAAAATAATAAATTAGATATATTATTATAAGAACAAAAATTATCCTTTTAACTAAAAACAGCAACCATCCATTCAGCTACTTACCTAATTTGAAAAATTAATTGGTTTGATTCGAACCCACAAAGGCCTGACAAAAGTTATCAAATGAAAACTAAGAATTAAAATATTAATTTATATTTCTCATCAATCGATCTCAAAGCTCATAATCTGTTGAACCAACAATTATTCCCTCCTTGAGTAAGCATTTATATTTCATTTTCTTAGCCATTTTTGTTTCAAATTAAGCTTGTTGTTTCCCTTACCTCTCACGACGTGTATTCGAAGTATCCAAAAACTTAGACTTTAAGTCAATCATTTTCCGATTCTTCATTATCGGTTTTCTGGGATTGATTAGTGATTAGATCTAGTGGCGAAAACGAAATCTTTTTGTTTTTTCTCTTGATTTTTTTAAAATTTTTGTCTCGGTTACTGTTTCCTGCTGTATATTGCCTGTAAATAACTTTTATTTTTTTATTTTGATTTTTATGCTTTTTTGACCAAATTTGTATTTGAATTTCGATTCCCTTCCGAAGTAATGCTCTTTTTGCTTGAAACCCATGTTTTTTTCTTAGTAAGTTCGGTGGATTTTTGCTTGGTTCCTCACGGATCTTGCGTTCTTTAGCTAACTTTTTGATTACCCAAAATGAAAAAGCTTTATAGGAAACTGGTTTTGATGAGAAACCCGTTGACAAGGCTTTCGAGCAGAGTGTTCAACGATAGGAAATGGATTATCCCATTTCTTGCAAGCTTGTTAGTGTCGATTACTTTGGTTTTCTCTGCTATTTTTGGGGTTTTCGATACTCCTCATGGTGCAGATCAGTTGCCAATGCCATTTGACGTTGTTTCCGTTGCAAAAACGGAGGATTCAAGTGGGTACTTTGTGGAATCTGATTTGAACAAATTGTTCAACACCAATGGTTCTTCGAGTATCGAGGCGCCTAGATTAGCATATCTTATTTCAGGAACTAAAGGAGATAGTAATAGGATGATGAGGACATTGCAGGCTGTTTTTCATCCCAGGAATCAGTATGTTTTACATTTGGACCTCGAGGCCCCACCTAGGGAAAGGTTGGAACTGGCGAATGCTGTGAAGAACGATCCGACGTTTGCCGAAGTAAAAAACGTTCGTGTAATGGCGCAATCGAACTTGGTGACTTACAAAGGTCCGACAATGATCGCCTCGACGCTTCAAGCGATTGCCATACTGTTGAAGGAGAGCTTGGAGTGGGATTGGTTTCTGAACTTGAGTGCCTCGGATTACCCACTTGTGACTCAAGATGGTTAGTCTCTAAACTTTGGCGCTTTTATCATTTCATTATCAATGCTATATTGCTCTTGTGGTTATAGTTTATGTTTGCCGTTGTTCCAGGGCTTTTAGATAGGCTTAATGTAAATGCACATTTGCTATGCTTGTAGGCGAATAATAGTGCTAAATTCGTTCAAGAACTTTGCTTTCTGCCACTTATTTTTATCACACTATGTTATGTATATGTATAGTTTAGGGCAATTGAATGTAAATAAGGTTGATTAGGCATTTGTATCGCTATCTCACGCATGTTTTCCGGTTTCTATAGGAAACTTTTAGCTTAAGTTAACTGCCAATTATTTTACGAGGGTGCTCAATCAAAGGATTTAGCCATGTCTGTTAATGCATTTCTAATTGTAAAGTAAAAAAGGGCTCTATCATAGTATGATAAATTGCTACTCCAGGTTCTCACAAAAGATAATTGTTTCCTTCAATGTTCCCTCATTGTTTGTTTATAATCCTAGCGATTGTATCTAGTATGTATATTCTACTCGGACCTCGGAGTCAAAGTATTCAATTGGTTTTTCATCAAAAGACTATTCATTTGTATGCATAATTGGCTATGTCTTAGGACATTAAGTTGCATCGTTGTGAATTTTAGCTACTTGGCCCTCACATAGGCAGACGGGTACATTTGAGACATGCAATAAGTGCCAATTGTATTATCATTTTAGTTTCGTTTATGGTTAAAATATCTGAAAGAGCTCCATCGGTATCTTTCTTTCGACATTATAATATGCATTTCTAGTTGATTTATGGGGTGTTTTCGGAAACTTAGATCTGTTTTCGAATGGGGTTTTACCTTTTCTGGCTGGTTTGCTTAAGATTAATTTATGTGTGTTTGAATTGTGCAGATTTGTTGCATGTTTTCTCTAATTTGTCAAGAAATCTCAACTTCATTGAACATACGCAGATTACTGGTTGGAAGTTGTAAGTTGAATACCTTGTGTACTCGCTAAATTTCCTTTTCTTATGCTGTAATGTCCCCACTTTCCTTGCCTAATTACATGCTTTTGCAGGAACCAGAGGGCAAGACCAATCATTGTTGATCCTGGCCTTTACTTGTCCAAAAAGTCCGACATTGCTTGGACTACACAACGTAGATCACTACCCACATCTTTCAAGTTATATACAGGTTGGTTATTTTTCCTACTTTACCGAGCACACTGTACCCTGCACTTTCTCTAATCATTGGTAGATTGCTTGCCCTCTGCCACTTCTTGTTTTCTTAAAGATCGTAATGCTTTTATGTTGATCGCTTTTATCTTGTAATCCCGAACAATATTTTAGTTGACTGTTGAAATATCAGCTGAAGTTTATGTGCCAAATAAGGATAATTTATACTTGCCATGCATTTTATTTCCTAGTATAGTAAATGCTGGAATGAAACATTCTTGCGGATTTTTTAAGTCTTACATATTGGAGTAAGAAACTTATTTTTGCATTTTAGAATCGATCTTCAGGGTTCCTTCCTATGCTGATTTTGTTATTGGGTGCCAAATAAACTAATGTTTTTGCCTGGTGTCGAAGCCTACATCGGATACCGGTATTGAAAGGAATGATATTTGAATCTTAGGTAGCTGAGACCAGCAATATAGGATGGTTTTCCATCATATGCACTTTATAATCAACTCTGCTTTGCGTTTCCTGGCCTTATCGTATTGTTGTTTCTGTTTTTCGATATGCATATAAACACAATACCACTGCGTTTTATATTTATATTGAACTCCGAAGCGTGAATAAAGAAAATTTTCAAACCGTTGTTTCGACTTTTGTTTTTCATGCAGGTTCTGCTTGGGTAGCTCTTACTCGAACCTTTGCTGAGTATTGTATATGGGGGTGGGATAACTTCCCAAGAACCATGCTTATGTATTATACAAACTTCATTTCCTCTCCGGAAGGCTATTTCCACACTGTTATTTGCAACACCAACGAATTTCGCAGCACTGCATTAAGCCACGATCTCCACTACATTGCTTGGGACACTCCTCCGAAACAACATCCAATCTCGTTGTCGATGAAAGACTTTGACAAAATGGTAAAAAGCAATGCGCCCTTTGCTAGGAAGTTCCATAAGAATGATCCGGTCTTGGATAAAATCGATAAAGAGCTTCTTGCTCGCACCGGTCGTTTTGCACCCGGAGCATGGTGTATAGGTAGTTCTGAGGGTAGAGCTGACCCTTGCACTGTACGTGGTTATGATTCCGTGTTTAGGCCAGGCCCCGGTGCTGAGAGGCTGCAACGACTCGTAAACACGCTGCTGTCCGAAGAATTTCGGAAAAAGCGGTGCTCGTGATAGCGGTGTAGAGTTGGATCAGATAATCCCCCAAGTGTAAATGGCTATATATATATATTCATACTTGGAATTTTGTTTGTAAACATACAACAATGGATATTCGATATACGACCGCGATAGTCACGGGGACTTAGTAATGATGATGGCAAAATTACAGTTTAAGTCCTTTAGAATTACAGAGTTTTAAGTTAATGTAATGGTGGATTCATTTTTGTCCTAAAAAAAATAGTAAAACTATAATTTAATCCTTTCAATAATTATAGTTATAAATTTATGCAACGGTAAAATTTTTACTTTTTAAAAAATTTACAATTCAATTTGAACCGAAAATTCAAGCGAGATAACATTAATAAATGAATATTTATACTAATTTATTGTTCAATTTATTCTAGTAACAAATTATATCTTAAAATTTAAAAGAAAGGGTAAACTACAAATTTAATCATTGAACTTTACTCTTTCTCCTATTTTGCTCATTGAACTTTAAAAGTTTTCAATTTTCTTACTGAACTTAATACATTAGGCTTTTTTGTCACTCTGTCGTTAAATAGTTAACGGTGTTAAAACGATGTCGTTTTAAAAAATAAAATTGTCACAACAACGATGTTGTTTTGAATTTATATAACAGCCCATTTATAACGCTGTTAGTGAGAAAACGATCAAGTGACCACAAAATCTAATGTATTAAGTTCAATGAGAAAATTAAAAAGATTTAAAGTATAGTGTGAAATAGGAGAAAAAGTAAAGTTCAGTTACCAAATTTATAATTTATCCTTAAAAAAACTCAATAACAATCTACCCAAAGGATGAAAAATCCCTTTAACAAACGCCACAGTTCTGTACCGAGCCAAACCCGAGTCAATAGCGAGTTTTGAGATCCGGGTTACACTAAAACGACTCGTTTCAAGGAGTTTTGATTTAATTTCAGTTTTCTTTCTCTGTCTAAAATACGATTGCGATAGGATACGAAAGTTCCCCAGTTGATCTCTTTCTACAATTCAGGTACTGTTTTTAGGCTTAATTTTTTTTACGAAGCATTACTTCGATTTATTTGCAATTCAGTTGAGTGATCTTTCCGAGAATACATCTCCATTCTCAATTTGAAGTAAAAATTTGCTGTTAGTTTCAGCTATCGGCGATAAAAATAAACGGCGGGAAAGGGCGGTGACGCTGACGGATGGATCAAGGGAGACAAGTGTTCACAGTAGATCTTCTCGAGAGATATGCGGCAAAAGGCCGCGGCGTGATTACGTGTATGGCAGCTGGAAATGATGTGATTGTGCTTGGAACAAGTAAAGGTTGGATTATCAGACATGATTTCGGCGTCGGAGATTCTAGTGGTATGGTATCCTCTTTTATTGATTAATACACTTTCAGTGTTATAATTTGAATTTTATTTTTAACCTTTAGTTATCGGCTAAGTATAGTGTCCAATTTTGAAATTCTTGGCTAGTTTCAAGTCACTTCTTACTCCTTGTTCGTTAATTAATTAGCTTGAAGTTAATTGAACTGTAACTCATTGATATAAGGTATTTGATTCAGCTTCGCATTTAAGGTATCGAGTGAGTGGTAAAGAAGATTTAGTGGCATATGTAAATTATGGAAGCATGTTATAACCTTTCCCTGTCCATTTGGAATTTTAGAAATCGATCTCTCTGCGGGCCGACCCGGGGAGCAATCAATCCATAGAGTTTTTGTTGATCCTGGGGGCAGCCACTGTATTGCTACTGTGGCGGGCAGTGTTGGTGCTGATACATTCTACACTCATGCAAAGTGGACCAAACCTCGTGTGTTAAGCAGATTGAAAAGTCTAGTTGTCAATGCTGTTGCCTGGAATAGGCAACAGATAACTGAAGGTAAATTTATTTCACGGCCATTGCTTCTTTGAGGGGACCAAACTTTGCGCATATTGATTTAGTTATGCAATTCTGTTCATTTTTTCTAATGCAGCTTCTACAAAGGAAGTCATTCTTGGTACAGAGAATGGTCAACTGTATGAAATTGCTGTAGATGAGAAGGACAAGAAGGAAAAGTATATAAAGCCTTTATTTGAATTAGCTGAACTTCCAGAAGCTATCATGGGTTTGCAGGTACACTATTTTGCATCTTTAGATCAGGAATGGGCTTTAATTATCTGTTTTTTCTTCATTTCATGAACCCTTTCTTCTGATATAGTTGTTCTGCTTGAACATTGCATTGTGAAAGCAAGTAGACACTCTTTCTTTAGCTAAAAACATTTATTCTTTAGATGGTCAAAGTTCTAGTCCTGTGCTTATTGCAAATCTGCATCTTAAATCTTCTGTTGGTTTGGGTGGAAGCACTATTTTCTACTAGACAATTTATAATGAACTAGCTGAAATAGGTTGCTGCTTAAGATTGGGTCTCATCTCTTGATAAAATCAAAGGATTTGTTGATTTGAGGAACTGCCAGGAGACTGGCATTCATACAATTTTCTTTTTAAACTGACTTTGTTGCTTTATACAGATGGAAACAGCTATCTTGAGCAATGGATCTAGATATTATGTGATGGCTGTTACTCCCACAAGACTTTATTCTTTCACTGGAGTTGGATCACTAGAAGTAAGCTGAGCTCTAATGCCTTTTCCCCTGTTTAAGGTTTTAAAAGTGATTGGGAACAAAAGAAGATGTTAATATTTTCCCTATGGTTGTTGACTGTTATACTGCTGCTGCTTCTATTTACAGATGGTATCCCTTTTTCCCTCTATTAATTTATTAATTGATTGGGCCAGATTTTATTCAGCCCAAGAAATGCCATTTTTTCCACCCACCTAGTTTGCTATCAGAGAAATGTTTTATCTGTGGTTTTATTTCTTCCTAAACAGTTATTTAGATGTGATTTTTTTTCAATGTCAGTGAAACGGGTTTCTCATTTAAATGCCTACCATGTTTATAACATCTTCTGTTTTCCTAAATGTGTTCTTACTTTGAGGTTCTCTTGCTATGGTTTATATAATTCTATATCGTGGATATATAATTTTATTTATTCAATTTGTTTTTTCATTACTAGACAATTTTTGCCAGTTACTTGAACCGTGCTGTGCATTTCATGGAACTTCCTGGTGAAATACCAAACAGGCAAGTTTTCCTCTTCATGATTGTATCGTTTTATTTTCATCTACTCGGAATATAGAACGGAATCTTGTGTTTACAGAACTTATCGCACAGGATATTAAGCTTATTCTTTGTGACTAACACAATTACATTTTGTTATTGGTTGAGAAGTACTATCTATCCTTTCTGACGTGTGTGTATATATATATATATATTAATGTTATGGTGCTTTCTGAATATGGGGTTTTGCTGCTGCCATTGTATCCTTTCAGTGATTTGCATTTCTTTATGAAGCAAAAAAGAGCTGTTCATTTCGCATGGCTTTCTGGAGCTGGCATCTACCATGGCAGCCTAAATTTTGGATCACAGCGTAGGTAAAGATTTAAATACTTGTTATTTTTTTGTCAACCATCTGTTTACACTCTTTCATTTGTTAATTTCTATCCCAGCCTTCTCCAAAATCTAATTCATGTTTGATACTTTAGTTGCAGCTAACCTTTTGAGTATGTCTTAGGATGCATTTCATTTCATTTCACTTTACCTAACCATAATGCATTTGAACTTGTTATATCTGATAAATATTTATGAACGTGATCTCATTATCATTCACCGTGGATATATTTTGATCTAGTTCTCCAAATGGCGATGAAAACTTTGTGGAGAACAAGGCTCTCCTGGACTATGCAAAGTTGTCTAATGGTGCAGAAGTAGTCAAACCCAGTTCCATGGCAGTGTCCGAATTTCACTTTTTGCTTCTTATTGGGAATAAGGTTAAGGTGTGTTGTGATAATTACTCACGTTTTATTTTTAATGCTGATATTATCCATTTGTAGTGTTCTGAATTCAGTTGCATCCATCCTGGTAATGAGTTTTCTAATGAGTATGAGACTTTCTTAGGGCCCTCTATATGTTATGTCTGAAGGACCTTGGGGTCAGATTTGTTAGTGTTTATTTAGGATTGTTTAATTTTCTTTTTTTCCAGTTCTTTTAGCTTTTACAATCATGTAACCTTCATTCCTAAATGCTGCATAGGTTGTAAATAGAATTAGCGAGCAAATCATAGAAGAACTTCAGTTTGATCAGGTTTCAGACTCTTCTTCAAGAGGAATTATTGGACTATGTAGTGATGCAACTGCAGGGTTGTTCTATGCGTATGACCAGAACTCTATCTTTCAGGTTTGTATCTTACATTTGACTTCATCTTATCTTTCAGTCTAAACTATATCAGGCTAACTTTCTGGCCTCTGGATTGGAAACATCTTCTAGGTTTCTGTGAATGATGAAGGTCGAGATATGTGGAAGGTCTATCTAGATATGAAAGAGTATGCTGCAGCTTTAGCCAATTCTCGTGATCCACTCCAGAAAGACCAAGTATATTTAGTTCAGGTCCTGTCTAGAAGTAATGTCTCTTTTGGTTGTTGGCATGTAATTTCATAGAACAAAGCTTAAATAAATTGCCACTCCTAGGTTGCAAATTTTGTGTAGAGAATCTTGTTATCATCCTAATTGTCTATGACCGGGATATTGTTTAAGCAGGCTGAAGCTGCATTCAGCTCCAGGGACTTCCTCAGGGCAGCATCCTTTTATGCAAAAGTGAATTCCTTCTTCCTTGATATTGTTTTATTCATGTATCTTAAATTAATTCTCCATTAATCTTGTACATCCTAACGCTGAATAGTTTGTGTGCTTTTTTCTTTATTTTCCATATGAAGGAAATTTGTTACTGAATACTGACACTTGTGTTTTGCAGATTAACTATATATTATCCTTTGAGGAGATCACTTTGAAGTTTATCAGTGTCAATGAACAGGCAAGTTCTGTATCTTTAATTTGATTTGTATCTATATTTGTTTTTCCCTTTCTTTGAGTAGTATTTTATCCACCACATAGCTCGAGTCTTGTACATTTTCAAATCCAGTTTTAGATTTTATGCATGTAATCCTTGTTCTCTTTTTCCTCTTACCCTTTGACAAGATCTTTAGCACCATCCTTGAAAAATTCACGACTTATTCAAGAAAAGTATTTCTAACAATGAAAATATCAGATCTTACTCTATGAATTAATTTCAATTCAAAGATTGAAATTATCGAATAGCCATGATAAATTGGTTTGACCAATTTTATCATCCTGATCCTTTTTGCTGAAGAACACGATTTAGAAATCTACCCTTTTCCCCCTTTAGTTTTTGAACTGGTAACTTTACATTTGTTGTCTTGGTTAAGATGTTGTAGAAACTTAATCAAGTTGATTTATACATTTTTTATACCATATTAACTTTAATGCAACCTGAGGCAGGAATTTTTTCAGGGCAGAAGTGTAAACTTGCTGAGCTGAGTTCTTTTTATTCTTTAATATGATAACAATTTTGAGTGCCTAACAAACAATAATCTTCAGTGTGTATGCCTTTGCATAAAACAAAACCCAACTAAAGCATCTGTAGATTCAAGTTTCTGTATATTAATATGACATACAGGGCAACACTACTCCATTATACTCGCGCACGTCAAGCATTTGTATTTGACATTCATTGACAAACTAGTATGGTCTCTGTTTTCAGGATGCTTTGAGAACCTTTTTGTTAAGGAAGCTTGACAATCTTTCAAAGGACGAAAAATGCCAAATAACAATGATCTCCACATGGGTGACAGAACTGTACCTGGACAAGGTTTCAGTTTTTCTTTTCCGCATGAACTTAGATGCATAACCTAGTTACTACTTAGCTTATATATACTCAATGATGTGCTAGTGCCTTTATAAAACTGAAATGTGTGATAAACATGAGGTTAGAAGTGTAGAGGCTAGGTTTCTTAAACATTCCGATAATGACAATAAAGGCTGATGAGATGAGTGTCCAATATAAATGTTTCATATTTGTCTTTTTCAATCGATTTTCTGCATATATTACTGTCTTTAGGTCATGGACAATATTAGCAATTACAATTTTATATTTTGAACTTGATTAGTAATGAGCAAAGTGACTTTAAAATGCATCTACTTTTTGGGAAATTAATACTTTTCATTATCTGCGTTGTGGATTGCACTGTTGTAAGAGGACTAAATTCTCCCTTGATGCAAGAAAACCAAGAACCAGTAGTCATCTCTAATGCTTGGTTTTGCATGTCAACATTTTTAGATAAATCGCCTTCTTTTAGAAGATGATACAGCTTTGGTGAATCGTAATTCTGAATATCAGTCTATCATTAAAGAGTTTCGTGCTTTCCTTAGTGACTGCAAAGATGTTTTGGATGAAGTGACTACAATGAGACTTCTAGAGAGGTAATAATCTGTGATTCATGAACCATTTCTTAGTCTCTACATTATCATGTAAATAATCTTTCATGGTTCAATAATATTATGTATTACATTTGCTCTGTCTTAATGGTTATGTACTTTTACTTTTCAAGAGTTTTGCCATGGGAAGATAAAGGACCTCTCACATTAGCTTAAGGTCGAAAATTGGAAGTATAGCTTATTGTTTGGGCCTCCATTCAACAATTAAGGTTTATCTTGTGTGAAAATATGGCACTAGTGATATTCTTTTAGTGTGAATATAAAAAGAACATTGACTCTTTCAAAGCACATCCTAAGTTAATTTCCATATCGAGTCAATAATTACACTGGATTACTTCTTGTGTACTCTCACATGATCAAACGATTGATGTTCTGTATTATGCCAGATGTGCAAAATGAACAACAGAAAACTAACATGTGTCCTCAAGAGTTGACTGATTTTCTTGGACTCTCGTGGTTAGACCCATAATTTTCGATTGTTTGGGCTAGAAGCCCTGTCATTTGCTTCAGTATCATCTGTAAATGTCTGCTTACTTGCTGCAGTTTTTGACTCCGTATTTATTTCCTTTAATCTATTAACCCTTTTTGTATTGAAGCATTACTAACATTAATAATTTTCTTTTGCAAACTTCTGCAGCTATGGGAGGGTTGAAGAATTAGTATTTTTTGCTAGTCTGAAGGAACAGCATGGGATTGTTATTCATTACCATATTCAGGTTTTAGGACATTCTTTCCTTATTGTCATTGGAACCTACTGCTGCTTCTCCTATCTACTTGATTTATCTTTCCTTATGCTTCCATTTTATTTATTTATTTCTGATTTCTTTGTGGGAGGGTTGGGGGGTATAAAGCTTTTGGGTTTTCTTGTGCAAGCCTTAAGTGTATTATAGGGTGTATAATTCTGATATGGAAACTTTTCATTTAGTCTTCACCAATCTGATGAATGATAGACTTATTTCCTTCCCCCCCCGGCCCCCACGGCACATTTCTATTAGTGGCTTATTAAGTAACAGAACAAAGGAGCTGTAACATGTTAGCCATTTATTAAGATTAGAAAGTAACTTTTTTTATTTACTTTTTATGTAATATTTAATTAGATATTTTTACTTTGTTATTCTGTATTTCTATTTGAACCTTAAAGCTGTTCTTTTTTTTCCTCTAGCAAGGGGAAGCAAAGAAGGCATTGGAAGTTCTTCGAAAACCTGCTGTTCCAGTAGATCTTCAGGTAAACAATCATGTCACTAACATCCTTTCCGTCACATTCTGCTGGTTGGTAAGCAGGTCCTTGTATATTATTTTCTTCATCTTTTCATGTGACTGAATTCCTCATTCAGTTTTATCCTATACAAGCTAGCTGTTCTTTTGTGATAGCACAACACCTCTCATTTCTAGTTCATTCTTATTGAAAAAAGTAACAATATTGGACACTGCAGTACAAGTTTGCCCCAGATCTTATTACTCTCGATGCTTATGAGACTGTCGAGTCGTGGATGGCCTCAAACAACCTGAACCCAAGGAAACTTATTCCTGCAATGATGCGTTATTCAAGTGAACCACATGCAAAGTAATGGTCTTCTCATATTTGCTTATCTAATCATCCATGTCTTATATGGATCTTGAATGACTTCTTATAGCAACTTTGTGCAACTTGCAGGAATGAAACCCATGAAGTAATTAAATACTTGGAATTCTGTGTTCATCATTTGCATAATGAGGATCCAGGAATCCACAATTTGTTGCTCTCTTTGTATGCTAAGCAGGTGGATTTGGTTTAGAATTTAGAAGCTTCCTCTTAAGTTATAATGGCACGTGCACAAGGTGGCATGTTAATAATTAAAAGATGACAGTTCCTTGGGTTTTGCTCGCCTTTTTTGATGTTTAGTTTTCTTTTTTATTTTATGCAGGAAGATGATAGTTCCCTTTTACGTTTCCTACAATGCAAATTCGGAAAAGGGCAAGAGAACGGGCCTGATTTCTTTTATGACCCTAAGTATGCCCTGCGCCTCTGCCTCAAGGAAAAACGGATGCGTGCCTGCGTTCATATATATAGCATGATGGCAATGCATGAGGAAGCTGTTGCTCTTGCTCTGCAGGTAATATTTCTGTCAATATATCTGATAGTTCCTTGATAACAATTTTTCTCATACCGTTTAGATTGGAAATTGTGTTATTACTATGAGAATTTGATTTAGAAATTATAGCATCCACTCAGAGAAGTTAGGTATGGATTTGTTATTATTATTACTACTATATAAAAAAGTTGAATTACTGAACATTTTATGGAACATTTTGGTGTTGTCTAGGTAAATAACGTAATTGTCTATCTCTGCTTAAGAAAATTTTCTAGTTGGATATTAAGGTCTATAAATCCCTGGTAACTAGCAATGGAGTGTAATGCAGAGATCACATGCAAATCATTGGTTCGAAGTCCTTTACTATAGGATGGGATTCTAAGTAATCCTTTCATTAGGTACGCTTTGCTTTCCATTTTAAAGTTGAGTGTACACTCTAAAGGGATAATCATTGGTGGCCTATTCAATAGAGCCATCTTTTCATGCATTTATTTACTCAAGACGTGTTGCATTGGACGCACATGAAATAGTCATGTTCAACTATCATTTAATTTGCTATTTCAAATATAAATGTTTGTAGCTTGAACATGTTATTTTATGTGTGATGCATACTGGTGGTATATTTGATCAAACATAGTTCATCTGGATTTTACATCACATCAGTATTTATTCTATTTCTGGTTCTCTAGATTGATCCAGAGCTAGCAATGGCTGAAGCTGACAAGGTTGAAGATGATGAAGACTTGAGAAAGAAGCTTTGGCTGATGGTTGCCAAGCATGTTATTGAGCAGGAAAAGGGAACTAAAAGGGAGAATATAAGAAAGGCAATAGCATTTCTCAAGGAAACAGATGGCCTACTAAAGATTGAGGACATATTGCCATTCTTTCCCGACTTTGCTTTAATTGATGACTTCAAGGTGGGATTTTGGTATTTTGATTATATTAGTGCTTATTTCTCACCCTCACCTCAAATGGGGTTAGTTAGGCACAACATAGCGCACTAGCTTTAATGCCATGTTAAGCATCTAAAAGCAATTGGTTATAGGTGAAGGGGCTCAATTTGGATATAAGACCATAGGAAACCCAAGATTTAATAGACGTAGGATGATACCATTTAACATTTTTTTTTGTACCTGTTAATTTTTTTTCATGCATGTATGTAGGAGGCAATTTGCTCCTCACTGGATGATTACAACAAGCAAATTGAGCAATTGAAGCAGGAGATGAATGATGCAACACATGGTGCAGACAACATTAGAAATGATATTAGTGCATTAGCTCAGAGATATGTTGTGGTTGACCGTGACGAGGATTGTGGGGTAATTGATCATCCTAATTTTTAATTTCCATTGAGAAGTTGATGGCATTCTTAGATTTATTTTTTTCCAACATCTTAAATGGATTATGGAGGTAAAGCCATTCATGCTCCATTCAGTTTGCTCTAGCTTTCTACATAGTTTTACAAGAAGCAGGTAATGTTACACACATGGAGAGGGCTTGCTTTTAGCACGAGTGTGAAAAAATATTAATTTTATTGACAATACCTTGGCTGATATTTTAATTTACTTTCCTGTTGGAAATATTGTAATTTATTGGTAAACTTGTATTCCTCGGCCTATGAATTGAATAGCCCTTGATTAGTCGACTTCATCTGAATTATCAGGTCTGTAGGCGTAAAATTTTGGCTATTGGCGGGGATTACAGAATGGCTAGCGGATATACTGCTGTAGGAACAATGACTCCTTTCTATGTCTTTCCCTGTGGACATGCTTTTCACGCCCACTGCCTGATTGCACACGTGACACGTTGCACCAATGAATCTCAAGTAAGTTGTTTGCCTATCATTCTCTCAGTTCTCATATGTTCATGTTTTGCATGTTGGCTGAAAGATAACGATTTCTGGATAGTTCTTTCTTCGTGGCCTCGGTAAACCTTTTACGAGTAAAATTTGTATGGCAGGCAGAATACATACTGGATTTGCACAAGCAACTAACTTTACTTAGTGGCGAAGTCCGAAGGGAATCGAATGGTGGTATGACAAACGAAGCCATTACTAGTGTCAGCCCTACTGATAAAGTATATATCACTTCCCTTTTGTGTAACGATTGCTTGAATCTATAGCTTGTTTTTTTGCTGGAAATCTATTCCCCGAATTGCCTTAATAGTAGTCCAAACTCAGTACTTTAATTGAGATATCTGTTTGATTCGTCGGCAGCTCCGATCCCAGTTAGATGATGCAGTGGCCAGTGAATGCCCATTTTGTGGCGAATTAATGATCCGTGAAATCTCTTTGCCTTTCATCATGCCGGAGGAAGCCCGGCAGGTTAATTCATGGGAGATAAAACCGCAGAACCTCGGAAACCAAAGAAGCTTTTCTTTGCCTGTATGATTGGATTATGCATGTCCACCGACCCATTCCGGTCCATCCGCACCGTGCCGTCCTAGGGCCGGTTATGTGGTTTTCTAGCCTTCTCAGCATCACTTGAGCCTGAATGGTTGCTTATTTCATGCAATTTATTCGTATTGTTCCCTTTTCTTTTCCTTTTCCTTTTTCTATTTATTGTATCGTTTGCATTTCCTCCCATGCCTCTTTGTTTTCTGTTTTTCTTTTTGTGTTCCAAGTTTGGGGTTTTTTTTATGTAATCAACCAATCTTTTGTTACTTGGAAATGGATCGTGTAATCTGTTTATTTATGTTTCTTTCCTCATAATTTTGATTATGATGTTATATATTTATATGCATAAATTGACGCAATATATTTATATCTAATTAAGTTAACGTCTTATTCGTAATTATATAAAATCAAAAGTATTGTATGTTATTACACGAAGTCGTATAGAACATAAGATATTTAGATGAGTTATAATAACAAAATTACCTCTAATGTTTGCCCAAATGATTACTTTATCTTTTATTTTTTTAGAGTATTTTAGTCTTAATGTTTTATTTTAAAGTAAAATGTTCTCTAGTTGAATGAAAATCGTTGGTTAACTAACTGTTAATGTTTCATATTGACTTGACAAATCAATATATGATACTTAAACAAATTTATTTTTAAAATAAACTATAATTATAATTAATTACATTTAAACTTGTAAAAATATATTTAAAAATATTTTTTTGATGACATGATATTACGCGTGGATCTATAACATTAATAGAAAACGATAATTGTTAGTTAACTAATGATTTTTATGATCATAAGATATTTTATTCTAAAATAAAATATTGAGGACTAAAATGTTTAAGAAGAAAAGATAGGGACAAAATGACCCTTTATACAAATATTAGGGTTAATTTTATTATTATGCCTTTACATAATCCTTATCTCAAAATTGTTCCCTGATTTTATGACTGCCAAGTCAACTGATGAGTATTCTGTTTATTGTTTGTAATACAATGTTTAAAGTCTAATTGCGTTCAATTATTCAAAGCCTAGCAATACTATATTTCTACTATTAGTTTGCTTGAATAAATGAAATGTTAGTCTGAACTTCATTTATATCCAATTTCGATAATGAACATCGATTGATTTAAGCTGCCGCATGCAAATTACAGATTCTTACCTGAATTCTAAATCTTATTCAAATCCCAGGTGGATAATCAAATATGTACACAAATTGATTGAAACAAAAAACCCAAAACAATTACAATGTTTTTGTTTCATTTTGATGTTCATCATTTCTTCCATTGATCCACAAGCTCTCTTTTGTATTCACATCTTCCACACCCTTTCCCTCTAATTTCCTCTGTTTTTAGGGTCGTGGAACTGAAGAAGTAGGGAGAACAAAGGTCGGATCCTTTATCCTTGGCCCCAACAATTAAGATACATGACTCGACGTATCGATTCATCGGCTTGACCTTCCCGGTTCCCGATCATCCCGGAAAGATCCGATCCGATCGTACTGGAAATCGGTCGGAGATCCGAAGATTCCCCGTCGAAGAGCCTGCGTTGGCCCCGTTGGAGAAACTTCATGCCCGATTTCCAATTTTGACCTTGGTTTTCGCCTCGGCCTAGTACCACCGCCACGCTCGTCGCCATCCACACACAGTTCAGGTAACTCATTATCTTCTTCTCTACACTCTTTTAGCTACGTATCGTTTAATTTTTCTCCTTTTCGCTAAGCTTATGAGCTGTTTTCAAAATGGAGACTGAGATGAAGGAAGCGAGCAAGAAGACTGGACCTTCTGTTTTCCTTTTCAAGAGCGGTTTTTATCATTTCCAGTGTCCAAACGAGATTTTTTAATTTTATCACGATAATATAAGCAAGTTCTCGCGGTTCATAAGCTGTTTTCTATCTCCTTATCTAGAATAAAGAATTAACTGCACTAGGTATCCCCAGATTATGCAATGATTTTAAATTACTCCTAAAATTTTAAAATATTCTATTTAAGTTATTAAACTATCAACATTATTTAAATTAGGTACTTCTATTGCTATATGAAATTTATTTAACATTAAATGACAATTCATGTCTTACATGGAGCGGAAAAGCTATGATCTTTATTTTAAATTAATCTTTAATTTTAAAATATTTTATATCAATCTTCAAACTATTAATATTATTTCATTTTGATCCTTTTATTATTGTATCATTAATTCTATTGGTTAAAAAGTAATAATATATATTTTTAAGAAACTAAGAATTAAACTCATGATATTTTAAAAATCTCAACATATTTAAAAATTGATTAATTTTTTAGGTCACATGTTAAATTCTCAATACCTCTACAAATATATTAACTTTTTATAAAATTGCAAGTTCAATTCTCAATACCTTAAAAAACTAGTAGAGTTAATGCTGCTTTAATAGAAGGATTAAAATGGAATAACACTAATAATTTTAGGAGTAATATAAAATAATTCAAATTTTAAGGACTAATTTATAGTACACGTTATAGTGTGTAGATCTCTTGTGTAATAGCTCTTTTTCAATTAATCCGAAAAGAAATTAGAATGTAATTAGGGATATAATTTCATGGATTTCGTACTTCATTCACTCTAATTGGGGCGAGATGAATATAAGTTTAATGGGTAGTGGGTGGGTGTGGATGTAAAAAGTCACACTCTCCATGAGTACTAGGTAGGTGATGAGTTTATGACATTGTCTACCCTATATCCACCCGCCCGCCCACTAACTATCCACCATATAAATCTTGAACATTATGAAATTATATTTAATTTTATAGATTATTCTATAAATCTTAAGATTTTATAGAATATGACTTGTAATTTAATCAAATATTATAATATAAACATTCTTATAATATGCAAGGTTATTGTTAGGCGGATACTGGATGAATAATAAATATCTAGTTGAGTAATGAGTATGAAATAGATTTGAGAATATATTTATATAGACGAGTGTAAAATTAAAAATTTTACTTAAAATAATAAATAAATAATGAATACAAAAATATTACGTGAGTATAAAAATGAGAAAGGGTATCCGAACTCGCCCCCATTATTTGCCGTCCCTAAATGTAATGTTCGTTATTTATCACGAAAATAGTGGAGAAATTGATAAGGTATAGCCCAAAACTGAAGTAACAGATGGCATGCTTATCTGAAACCAAATAAGATAGCCGATAATATTCAGCCAATAGGTGAACCCTGGGCCCACTCTCCCATTCAATACGGGTCCCACCGAACCATTAGTACTATTATTATTTTTAATTTATTTATTAGGCTTTGTTCTGGCCTTTGGGGCATTGTTGTATTTTTACTACAAAATGAGTACGTGTTGCTCTCTACTCGTGACAGGGTTGGACCATCACGTGATCTTCCTGTCCATATCTCCAAACCTCAATTATTGTCACTTTCATTTTTTAAGGGTAAATTATAAATTTTATCACTAAATTTTATTTTTTCTCCTATTTTTTCACTAAACTTTAAAAAAATTCAATTTTTTTACTAAACTTAATACATCGATTTTTTAGTCAATGAAACTTTATTTTCTCTCCTATTTTAGTCACTCTGATATTATATATATATATATATATATTTGATTAATCTAAAGGTGATTGCAAAATAATATATATTCTATGAACTCTCAACCATTTGACAATAAACACCCAATTATCATTGTAATTGCTGGTGCTCAAACCGTAATCTCTAGGAACAACAATGATTATTTTAACTACTGAGGTAAGTTGGTTCATGCTACTGTTACCTAGATAAAGACGTTAAAAATGATGCAATTTAAAAAATATTCACCAAAAAGATGTCATTTTGCATTTATATATAGCCTATTTTAACGGCTAAGTGACAAAAATTCAATGTATTAAGTTCAGTGAAGAAATTGAAATGATTTAAAGTACGTGAGTGAAATGTGAGACAGAGTAAAGTTCAATTGCAAAATTTATAATTTACCCTTTTTTAAAATTAGAGAAATGTTGTAATTAAAAAATAAAACAAAATAAAGTGGTTGAATATTATTTAAGGATTTAAGGTTAATTTCATAGTATGTACCGAAGTCATTTTAATATCCTGACTATTAAAATAAAGCAGTCGGCCTTTTCCGATGATTTTATATATTTTTTTCTTATAAAGTTTAAAGAGAATTTATTGTGTGTTTTTTCAATGAGTTTTTTAAAATTTTATTTTAAAATTAAAGAACTCATCATGTAATTTCAACGAATTTTTTCATTATATATATTTAGAAAATCAGGAAAAAAAATCGAAAAATACAAATGAATTCATTTTAAATTAAAAAAATTATGTAAAATCGTCGGGAAGAGCCGGTGAAGTTACCGTCGCAGAAACTGTTCAATGACTTCGGTTAACATGGCTAAATTATGTGTTTAGAACCTAAACTATCAGTTTTAATTTGTTTTAGCACTTAAACTTTTAATTTTTTTAAAATCATACCTAACATTTAGTTTTAATTTCATTTTAGTACCTGTTGCTAACTTAACATATTTAGTATCTAAACTCTCAATTTTGGTCCGTTTTAATACATAAGCTTTCATTTTTTCTTTCAAAACTTAAGTATGATTTAGGTACTAAACGTGTTTTAGTACCTAAACTTTCAAATTTTTTCAACACTTGAGTTTTGTATTAAAAATGAAATAAAAACTAAACTTTAGGTATGATTTAAAAAAAATTGAAAGTTTAGGTATTAAAACAGATCAAAACTGATAGTTTAGGTACTAAATATGTAATTAATCCTTAAATAATTTCGAACCAACCTCCTTTTATTAATTTTTATGATTTCAATATTTTCAAATAATGAAATCTAAAAAATAGATTATGGATATTCCTAGCTAACACTTGTGTATTTTTTTTAATTTTTTTAAGGGTAAATTATGAATTTCATCACTAAACTTTACTCTCTCTCCTATTTTGCTCACTAAACTTTAAAAAATTTCAATTTACTCACTAAACTTAATACATTGAGTTTTTTTGTCACCATACTTTACTCTCTCTCTTCTTTTTATTACTCTATCGTTAAATAGTTAACGGTGTTAAAAACGACGCCGTTTAAAAAAAACAAATTTTTTACCAAAACGTCATCGTTTTGCATCTATATAACAACTCATTTTAACGCCGTTAATTGTATAACATATGAGTGATCAAAATATCCAATGTATTAACTTCAGTGAGGATATTTAAAAGATTTAAAGTATAGTAAGTGAAATAAAAGAGAGAGTACAGTTTATTTACCAAATTTATAATTTAGCCTTATTTTAATTTCTCATAGATGG